TCAAAGATGGGTTTGCAGAGGGCTTTTAAGAGAGGCAATTTGTCTTCTGCTTTCCCTCTTGCAAAGGGGTACTAAGAGTTTGTCTCAGAGAATTTTGCTCTGGGGTCCTGTGTGTCCAATCCCAGTGGAATTTGTCTGTGGCTGTGGGGCCTTTGGAGAAGAAGAGTAGAAGAACTATGATTCTGTAAATGCACGCTAAGGTAAATGTGTGCACAAAAGAAATACCAGTGATAGACTTTTAATGTTCCATGCCGAAACCTCTTTGGGTTTATTATATTTTTTCAGCATGTCTAGAGGTCTATTAATGGCTTTGGCCCTATAGGTCCGGGGAGCTGTCTTCATCAGCATTAAGTGCAAATCCAATTTAGAATGACGTAATGCATCAGCGTGCTCTCGACTTGCATCAGTGGGAAGGATTTTCCACTGTACAAGAAGCTTCTTGGAGATGCATTTACCTAATCAAACTGATTTAGTGTCTGGCCCGTGTTGCCTGCTAATAAAACCTTTCAGATAAAATCATGATAATAAGGTATTTTATAGCTTTCATTTATGCTAAAATATGCTGTTTGATTTGCTTTATGCCATATTTTTCTAAGCATATGGGGGAAAGAAGTAGAAATAAATTCTGTCCAATTGCCATAGTAAAAATTAGTGACTTAAGTGAGCATATTGAGTTTGTCACTCAGGTTTTGCTTTTGAGCTTGTGAGTAGAATCTTCTGATAAAACATTTCTGGCTTCAAAAATCTGTATAGGAAAAAATGGAAACTATGCCAAATAATTAACTTAATCTTATAAAACACAAAGCAAATTTTTTCCTCTGAATTATACCCCACCTAGGAAAGATAAGAAAGATTGTCATGTGCTGAACTTTACTGACAGTAGACTTTGACCCCATTTGCTTTGTATTTACTTACACCAAAATATAAATAGTGGACTGCTTATTCTAGGAGAATGCAAAACAAATTCTTACACTTCAGATGAATGACACTTGCTGACTGCTTCTTTGTATGTTTTTCCCTCCAGCTGATATTTTTGGTTTGGTGCAGAGAAGAAACTGTTTACTTGCCTTCCTAAGTAGGCAGCAAGGAGCACAATTTTTATGATTTGGAGTGCAGAATTGTAAGTGGAGAGCCTACCTCCCACTAGTTTCATTATGGAGTGGAATTGTCTGCCATGAAAAAAATAGTTTTTACTCTGCACTGCAAAAGTTGATATTGATTTTACAGTCTCAAATAAATATCACCTGCACTTACAGGGAAATTATCTAATGAGTGTTCATTTTACATTAAGTAGCATAATGTGTGAATAACAGTTCAATAGTTGGGAAGAGGTAATACATCTAAGCCTTAAAAATACCATGAAAATCTAGAAAGCTGTTGCACTGCAAACAGTGCTTCAGGACAAACCAGAATTGTGTGTGAAAGTGAATTCATGGTCTGTTGAGAACAGTAGCCAGATTTTGCTTCCGGTTTTCTGTCTTTCATTTACCTGAGCTGCTTTCCTCACCTACTGATGAACCTCATATTGAGTTTCCTCAGGTTGAGGGCAGTCCAACTCTCTTGACTATTCAGATCAGGCCTAACAGGGGTGTATCTGTGGCTTCCTGCCTAACCCATCATTTGCAACATTTGGTGGTGAGGTATCAATGAAGGATTATAAGATAATATAGTCAGCAGGCAGGAAAAACTCAAACATGTAAGTGCTGATAAAAGAAAACTGGGTTATTAGTTGACTGGTCCTTTCCCCTCTCTTTTCCTCCTTTCAGAGATGCGCTTATTAATGCACTCCAAGGTGAGACACCTATTAATGTTACCTCTTTTCTTAATCTCTCAGCCTACCTCCAGGTCTTTCTCGTTCAGAAGTGAGTCTGTCATGTTAACTAAATAGCAGCTTTCTTGACAAAGTGCAGGGTATTAGCTGCTGCTAAGGCATGCTTTATTGATTGCTGTTGATTTACAAATTAAGATTACTTCTACTGCTCCTGGCATTTAGTTGTAACTTAAATGTTTCATTAGTGAGGCAAAATTGAGGTTCATGAAAGCAAACCTTACCATACAGTTACTGACTACTTTCTACAAGTTTTTTATTCCGGAGATCCAATGGAGGGAAACCACTTTATCAGATGCATTGAAAAAAAGAAATAGAGGCAAGAGGTTAATTATGTTGAATTGCTTTTTCAATTAGAATTTAACTTCAGGTGTTTCAGTCAATGTTGACAGTATTGAGCTGAGGCAGAGTCTAGGCAGCAAGGCAAGTTGACCAATGAGTACACTAAAAACCCGATAAGCTTGGTCTCGGTTTGGAGATTATTAAGGGAACTGAAAAATCATTAAATTTAGAAATGGGACCTAATGGAAGTCAATGAGAGAATGACCATGGATATTTAATGAGCAGCACTGCATCATGTTCTCATCTCATCAGAAATAAATAATGAGACACTTGAATTTCTCTTTGAACAACAGTAAAAGTAGAATGTGGAAATAGCAGGGGGAAAAGTAATCCTTTGGGCCATCCCCTCTATAAATGATTGCTACAAACCTTAATTAATTATTGGAGTAACTTGTGAAACAAGCTTATGTGAAACTATGGCACCATAAAATGTCTGTTTAATTGTTAGCCCCAAACCACATCTAGATTACCTTGAAAGGCTGGGAGTTCATTACCCAGAATTATTGAAAAATAGCCAGTGTAATTTCATTCTGCTGAAGAACACAGGATGAATTCTGCATGAGAACAGCAATGCTCCAGAAATCCTGGTGAGCAATCTTTGTTAGGAACAATGTTGCTGTAGTGTGCTCATTAAACTTCAGTCGGTTTGTATGTTACTGCTGCACTTCTGATTGATAACTTCTGATTATGTATTTGAAAGGAGAAGCAAAATCCACAGGCTAGCAACGAGGAGGAATGCTGGAAAATAGAGGTGAAGAGGGGTGAACTCTGGAGCTGGAGCTATCTCAGCCAGTAGATCCTATAAGTATCCTCCTGGCAGGGGTGGATCCTTAGCCTGAACAGGAGAACAGGAGGCAGTGGGGAAGCAGTGGAGATGTGGGAGTACTTACACCATGTAGCCTTCTGCACTTAGTTTTGCTGTAGAACTGAGCTCCCTTAATTGCCTGTGTTGCCAACACGAAAAGACACCAGCTTCAGCAACTGGCAACTCAAGTTGCCCCTATTAGGCTTATTTTGGAACATCCTGTGCATCATCTTGCTGGTCTTTTTTTAAGGATCTGACACGGCTGCACAAGCATGGAAGAAATTTGAGTTTTAAGGAGTAAAATCCATAACAGCTCTTCCAAATGTGTCTGTCTCTTATTTATTTATTTCTTATTTTATTTTGGGGTTTTTTTTCCCCATCTTTTCTTCTAACCTCCAAAATGCCTTTTGTACTAGATTGTTCATATTTCTCCCTTGGTTTTATGGCAGTTCCTATGATTTGAATTTTACATGAATCTCTGCACAAGGGCAGCTGTAGATACAACCAGGCTATTAAAATGGTACAGAACTGTAGTTCTCTCCTAGGGAAATCTGAATTGAGATGGATATCTACAAGAGGTGGACAGAAGAGCCACGGCAACTTCAAACACTGACAGAAGAGAGTGGGACTGGCACTCTTTTTCTGATCAATATGACCATAATTAAGATCCAAGAAAACCTAATGTTTAGAGAAATCTTTGTTGTTGTAATTCCATTCCCCTTCTTCTTTGACCTTAGGTAAGGAAAAGGAAAGCTGGTGACTGGTGCTGAAAGGCCAACAGAATGCTGGATGGTTTCTGCCTCAATCAGTCGTGTTTTATCCCACACTCCTATTTCTATGGGGGAAGCAGATGGCCAGGTCCAGGATTTTAGTAGAATTGCTCCTGTTTTATGCTGGAGTGGGGTGTCTGAGACTCTCCCCTGTAACACTGCTGGCACTGAAGCTTTCCTGAGCTCCAGAACTGGAAGAGAAATATTTCCCTAGAGCATCTCTGCAGGAGTTGTGTCTAGTTAGTGCTTTATTACTAGCTCTTCAGCTCCATTCAGTCCCTCCTCCTTTCTGTTAACTTTTAACTTGTGTTTTCTATTTTGTGTCTGGCTCAGGGGTTGATTTTCCTGCCAAAGCTATAATGCAGAATGTCTGGAAAGTGGCAATCTGATCAGGCTGAAAGTAATTATCAGTTTCTCCAAAGCATTTGAGAATTTTAACTTTGTAAGAGTGCTGTGCATTTGTGATGTAAGTAATTTATATACTTTCACATTCATTGGAAAATAATAGTCTATATAAACATGAGATGTCTTTTGTTAGTATGAATAGGATTCTGTTCCCTTATCAAGTAGCAAAAATTGGTCCCTTATCTGAGCTTTTCTCTGTCAGCAAGTCAGAGCACATTGGTCAGTCCTGCAGGCACTTGCTAGTCCTGATATAAACTGAAATATGTGCATATTTATGAGGTTATTAACTGTTTATTGATATCAGGCATGTTGCCGACAGTTCAATAATTGCTTGATCAAAGTAGGAGTTTTTAAAAGAAAATGAAGCCTTTTGATAGCATCACTATATATATATATTAACATTCCTGTATAGGAGGCTTACATTCCATTAGCACAAACAACTGTCTTAAATCTTCCCAATATCCCCATGAGGAAGTAGATGACTGCTAATTCCTGGTCAGATAACAGTTACCTTGCCTGTGATGCAGGTCCCCAGAAAGTATGTTTGTTTTTCCTTGCACAAGAGCCACAAATTTCCTGAGGAGGACGTTTTGAAGGGGCTCCCTGAAGGAAGAAATGCTGTTAGTACTGTTCCAGGAAGCAATAAGCACCTTCATGAAAATAACTCAAGTCCCCATCCTTAATCCCTGCCTATCCTTTTTTATCTGATGGACTCAGCGAGGGCTGGAAGATCACAGTGTGGCTGAAAACAAAAGGGAGTTAACAAGATGTGACCAGTCAATGGATAAAACAATAGGCGAAGCCCTCCACGTTGTGTAGAGCGCAGGTGTCCTTCCATGCTCAGGTAGCCATGAGGATCGTGGTGAGTTTGCTGTGTTGCCTCACGCTCGGGGGGCTGCCAGGGGCGAGCGGCTCGTGCCCATCCCAGTGCAGCTGCACCTTCCACAGCCTCAGTGAAGGGACCAAAGCCAGGTATGCCGGGACTCTCCTCGGGGGCTGCCGCGCTTTCTCGGGGTGCTGGGGGTTTTGTTCTCTCCTTTGCAGGGATGCTTGGAGGAGAAAATATTGTGTCCAGACTTTGTGTCCATTATTTTTTCCAGTCGCTGTGCGCTCTAGCTATATTTGCAGAGGATTAGCTTCTGAAAACACAGTAAGCTGATTTCAGAGAAAGCGTTTCGGCATCTGTGTGAGAAGTGACATAATTACTGCTGGTGCAAGGGCTAAAAGGGAATAAAATTTAAACAGCATTTTATTTTTTTTACCTTTGTGATGAAAATTCTGGTTTTAAGAAATTTTATTCTGCTCCACTGGTTTGTTGCTAAAATGTAACTAGATTTGATTTATGTTGTGGTAACAAAAACGGCAATTCGATTTACTTAAAAAATCCTTCAGCTGGAGATTTTAGGCAAAGCAATAGACTGTAGATGAGAATGAACCAAAAAAATAGACAACAGGCATAAAAAAAAAAAAAAAAAGAATTCTCAGACTGGAAGCTTTCAGTTGAGAAAAAGACAAGACCAGAAGGACCTCCATTTTTTAATGCAATGCCATACTATGCACATTTCTTTGGAGGACTGTTTTCCGTAACCCTTCTGAAGTGTAATTACAAAGTAATTGTCTGACTTAATGAAATAGAGGCTACATTTTTGTAAGGTGTGGGTCATAGTAGAGGAGGTTTTGTGACAGAGATACGTTATTTGCGAAATCCTTTGGGATAAATTTTTTCTGGACAACAGCACAGTACTGAAATTAAATATTTTGGATCCCCATGAAATAGATCTACTTTCTTATCTCTTTTATGGTGCTATAGATTTAATACCAGAAAATTTTCCAGTAAGAAGCATGGTAGAGACACAAGTAGTCTGCAATTGTTAAAAGGGAGTGCAATAGCGTGAGAACCAATTATTGCTTCATAAATGTCACAGTTCCCAGGGGAATTTCCTTGCAGTGACTGGAAAAAGCTGTTGAGCATTTTAGTAAGATACATAATAACGCAAATACCCATTATTCCCTTAAGGAGCATAATGTCACCTTTTTTTTTTCTGCATTATGATTCATATTTCTCACTAGCAGAAGGAGATTATCCGATAGATTAAATATTTAGTGCTCACTGACATAGTTTAAGGACACTATGAGAAGCATGCTGCTTTACTGCCCTGGTGTTTCTGTTAGCAAACATTTTGTGTCACGGCTACACACAAATAAATGTTTTATTGAAAGAGGATTTCTAGATTTTTCTTATTTGATAGATTTTTCTCTTCCTCGAAACCTCAATTTTCAGCTGAGGGTGGGCAGGATTTAATGCCACAATAAAAGTGTTGGATGAGAGTAATGTACTCTGTTTTGATTATAAATTAACAATTTAATTGTAGGCTCAAATAGCATTTAACTCTGGGAGGTTTGCATGGGCAGTTCCAGGTTGTTATATGTTTTTGTTGATACTAGAGGAATAATTGCTTTCAGCCAAAACCAATCTGGTTTTGGCAACTTTGCAATATTCTGTTTATAGAGGTAGTGTGACAAGAAAATGTTACTTGACTGATCACATTACATTTCTTGCAGTATCTTGTTTAGCACGTGGAGTGGAACACACCTATTTAATCTGTTATCTTTTGTAGCAGGCTTTGTATTTTGTTGAGAACTTGCCTTCCTCTACCTGCTGATAGGCAAACTAAAATGCAGTCTGAGAAACCAGTTTTGTCTCCCTTCATGTCTCTTGGCTATCTACAGTCCCAAGTCACAATTTTTTGTTTGAAGGCTGCAAAAACGCAGCAGACTTTTTATGCTTTGACTGCTAGAGATTAGGAACAGGAAGAATGATTAAAACACATAAATCTGCCTTGCTTTCAGTGTAGAATTTTCCAAAGAGTTAATTTTCTGTGCTTTCACTCTCATAACTATACATGCCTGTGGTGCAGTGACTGCTATCACCTCTACACACCTTCCAGACTTCACAGTAAAGCAGAGCTTGCTACTAGTGCATTTCTAGTGAGCTGTTAGCTGACTTTCTTATCCTCATTTCTCAAACCAGAGGTCCTGTGTCCTATTTAATCTCTAAACCTGCTTGCCCTCCGACATGTCAGTAAGGCTTGTTTATGTATGGTTTTTATTGTTCAATGTTTGGATCATTTTGTTTTAACTTGCACTAGAATCCTCTGTTGTGCATGAATGTTGTCACTACTGTCTCCCATAAGTACTCTAAACAAACCTGAAAGCAAAAAACTTAGCAGGAACACTATATGGGCCAGATTCAGACTCACATCATCCCAGGAGCAGCACAACACTGCTATCTCTGCAGTCAGAAGGTACATATGAATGTTGATGTCCTTATGGTGACGATGCAGAGATCAGCAGCAAGTAAGAAATGACAAGAAGAAATCTTGTGAAAAAACAAAAGCAGATCAAAATCTTGCATTGAAATAAAGTTTCAAAACCTTTTCAAAATAAAGTCACACCTTTGCTTGTCTTTTCCCCACCAGGACAGTGCTGTGTAATGACCCAGAGATGACCCTCCCACCTGTGAACATCCCCGTAGACACAATCAAGCTTCGGATAGAAAAGACAGCCATCCGCAGGGTGCCAGGAGAGGCTTTCCACCTACTGCACTACCTGGAGTACCTCTGGATGCCCTATAACTCCCTGGCCAGCCTCAGCGGAATCACCTTCAAGGGCCTTCGTCGTCTGCAGGAGCTGAGGCTGGATGGGAACAATTTAATAGCTTTCCCCTGGGAAGCCCTGGCTGGCATGCCACAGCTAAGGCTTCTGGATTTGCACAACAACGAACTTACCTCAGTCCCTCCAGATGCTGCTCGTTATGTCAAGAATATCACATACCTGGATCTATCTAGCAATAAGCTGATGACCCTTCCTCAGGCTCTTATTGCCACCTGGGCAAACCTCCAGGCTGTTCCTTACTTCCCCAATGATAACTCCAAGATCATCCTAGGTAAGAGAAGTGCCTGTCACTTTGCAGGGGACACAAATGGCAAGAGTTTCTCGTCTTATTGCAGCATTTTCACCCACTGTGGTTACCATAGCAAGTACATTGCCATTATATATATGCAATTTAATACCCCGTATAAAGTGTGTAAATTCATTTAAATATTAACAAATTCACTTCAGGCTCATCAAACCCAGCTTATTACACCATAAATTTGATTACTTGCTTCAATCTTTGTAGCAGAAACCTGGTGACTCTTGCTCAAGGCTTTTTTATTTATTGACACTGTGCCATTTTGGACCAAAATACAAATATGATTAGAGCTCCTCATGATTCATATGGTCTTTTTTAATAACACTTAGTATGGAATCTACTCATTTTAAACAGCATTAAATGAAAAGGTGGATATTTATTGTGTCCAAATTAAAGAGGAATAGTGCCATAACTGAGCATAAGGTCTGGGTCAGGACTGCCAGTTTGTCTCTTAACAGAGATTTGTTTATGTGTTCATACAGAATTAAACTCTAGTCTACCTAAACCCACCAAGACAGTGCTGCCTAGAAGGGCAGCTGTAAAGCTCCAAGAATTCCCCTTTGTGGTGTCAGTGCTGGGCTCCTCAGAGGTATGGCTTTGGGGCAGTTGTCCATTTTTGTGTCAGCTGACTCAGTTTCAGTATCCCCAGGAGAGGTTTTCAGCACGTTTATTAGTTTGGGGTATTACTACTTAGTGTTTTAATATTCGAGTGCTGATTCAAATCCACGGTAGGTTGATGATGTTTCAGAGTTGTTGCCATCTGCTGTTATCCCTTGCCTTGAGCTGATCCAGCTCCATTGACTGTGTTTGGTCTGTGGGGTGTGTGCATCTGTGTGTAGCTGCCTCTGCAGCCATGGATGTGAGTTCAGGCACTTACTTGTTGATAATCTCATCAGAGACATTTCAAGTTTCCTCTTGCTCTTGCAAGCACCTGCTGCTCTTTGTTCCCTTGATAAATTTAGGGGGCTAAAGTTTTTTTAAAAAGGATTGCAGTGGAAAGAGATTCAAGACTTAAAAAAGATACAAAATGCCACCTACAAAGCTTTTAGTGTCCTTAGCAGATGTTGTTTAAGGTTTCATTAGCATCAGGAGAGAAGCAGGTGTTTCATTATCCTGTTTTGCCAGATGCAGTAACAAGTTCTTTAAACCAAAGCTGGCAGTTTGGGATTGCCTATTTCACTCGTGGTAAGACACTGCCTAGATCATACTTATCTTTTTTAAATTTTTTAGCATCAAATTACATGTAAAAATGTTATTCCATTCAATATATATTAGTAGAGTGTTTTATTGAGAAGAATAGATTGTGTCTCGACGCTCTGGCCAACCTGAGTGTTTACGTATCCAGCTGTGCATAGGTTGAGTGTGCCAGAATCCTAAGAAATTAATGTAGTCAAATGCCTATAATGCTAAAATTAATGCAGTAATGTATAGCCACTCCAGCTTCTAGGTCTATCCTGCTGACACTCAGAGGGACCAGGTAGATAAAATGCATGTCCCTCACAGGAGCAGAATGGGAAAACACAGCTGCTTGTTTCTGTTTCACTCTGCTCATGACTGTTTCTCATGGAGGCATAAAAAGTCATGAATAATAAAGAGCCAGCCTAGTCCATCCTTTGTCTACAGTGCATCACTGTGAATTCTCTTCAGAGCCCTTGTTTGTAGACAGCTTCAAGATGTAGCTCCTGTGGTAAGTTGCTGGCTAATAGCCTGTGCCAAGGGTGCAAGCTTTTCCACATGAGGATTGCCCACGTGAGCCCATGGAACTGCGCTGTGCAGGGAAGCAAAGAGCTCACTTTGGGGCTCTGGGGGTGCTGCGGCATCAGCTGGAGCTGGTGCACCTGCCAGGTAATCTGGGATAAATTGTTATCTAGTGCATGAGGTCAGAAATAAGCTGCAAAGAAGTATGCTAGCAAAAATGCCATAAACCAACAAAGCCAACCTGCACTTTCTTTCTTTATTTAATCTCCTTCACATTAATGCATTAGTTTATAAGAACTGACCTCTTGCCAAGATGCATTTCTTTCACGTCCTCTTCCAAGCTCAGGAAAGATGATATGGAATGATCTCAGAAGAAATTTTCCAGCAGCATCTTTAAAACCCTTTATTTGAGACCTTGGGGACTTTTGATCAGCACTGTGTTTCTGTTTACTGTGGCAAATTCAAGAAGCCCCTCGATGCTCATGGAGCCTTGTAGTGCACCATCTGTGCATGTGTCAGAATTTGGTTCTGGCTGGAAAGCCTGTGCTTGCACGACTCCTGCTGCAGGGCTCCAGGGCCCAGTGAGGGTGGGCACTGTAGGGTGGGCAGCTGTCATTTCCTCCCATCAGGAATCGAGGAAATATTAGTACTCTCTACTTTGAGGCAGGTGCTGGCCCCAAGGCATGTCCTTGGGCTGCCTGTGGAAAAGAGGAGGTGGAGCCCCCTTAGAGGAAGCAGAGCCCACTCCTGTGGCAGGCAGGAGGTCTGGGAACCACACTGCTGGCTTAGGCTTCAAATGTGTGCCTGGGTTAGATGGTATAAATGTCCCTAGTGCCAATTCTTCTAGCTAAAACCATTAGAGACCACAAACTGTCCACAGAACAGCTGGATGGGAATATTTGTAAGTAGGATGATACAGATTTAATCAGAATGCAGCAACTTCTGTTCATGGATATGCATTGCTCTAGTTCCAAATTTGCTTTTTCGGTACTATCTTCACAGGTCTATTTTTAATAGAACAACGTCTCATTTTTTTCAGAATTTGAGTTCAGTAGGTGTGAACTGGGATAGCAGAATAAAAAAAAAAGGAGAAACATTCTGGGACTCTGAAACAGGAGTGTGCTCTTCAATAGACCCCTTTCTGAGTGTATATTCTTAATATAGTAATTGTCTACTTATATTCTTTTATATACCATAACAGGAATATTCTTTAATTTAATCCTTAAACCAGTTCTTTTATCCTGTGTAAATTAGTATTTCAGGAAAAACAGCTGATTACTAAAATAATGAAAATAACTTAGAATAACAGGGCTGGAAGAGAACTATTACAGTCAAGTAGGATCACCTACACCTATTGCAGGTGTGAAAGTTGGCATGCCAAGATGGATAATATTTTAATAGTGTCCAGTGAGAAGAATTTCCTGGTCTGTCTAAGGAAGAGACATCATAGTCACCTCATACCAGAAAAATTCACACCCCTTCTCCCATGGTTGTTTTTATCATCCTGAAACCAAATGTGTTTATAATAACTTCTTCTTTTGCTTCTTTAGGTGCATAAATTGCAATGTTTTCATAATATAAATAATCCTGTGCTGAACTTAAAGAATATGATTCCAGATCCAGGTTTTGAGACACTTTAGCAAGCCATATTTATTCCATTCTACTAACAGGCAACCATGGGATCCATCAGGCTCAGCCAACAGCATCAGGGGACTGTCGGGACATCACCCCCACCACCCCCCACATTGCCCCTGTATAAGCACAGACAGTTCTTACAGAGCAGTCTGGGAACCTATCACGGTTTCTCCTGTTGAAAAATAGAAATGAAAGTGGCAGAAACAACAGGTGCTGTTGCAGTGACTTGGTGCTCTGATTTCTTTTGACAGGCTTGCAAGACAATCCTTGGGTATGTGACTGCAGTCTGTATGAAATGGTCCATTTCCTAAATTTCCAGTCTCCTAACATAGCGTTCATTGAGCCCAGGCTGAAATGCTTCACGCCCCGGAGCCTTGCAGGAGTGTTCTTCAGCCAAGTGGAGCTAAGGAAGTGTCAAAGCCCCGTTGTACACACGTCTGTAGCCAAAGTGAAGACCATCCTGGGCAGCACCGTGCTGCTACGATGTGGGACAACAGGGGTGCCCATCCCTGAGCTCAGCTGGAGGAGAGCTGACGGTGCTCAGCTGAACGGCACAGGTGGGTTTGGTTTAAACTTTTCTGGTACACATGGAATGAGTGATAGCAACCTGTATCTTTATTTTCTACAGACTGTTCAGCAAATGGGAGCTTCTATGGCAACAGAACCTTCCCACTGATAAAAGAAAGTGGTGCAAGATCAGGATTCACTGTAATTCACAATAGTACCGTGTGTAATCCACTACTACAATGTGATTTTTCCATTGACTATAAAATTACTTACATGTTGATGAAAATATTGTCAGATAAAATGTATACTATAATGTGTAAACAGTTAGTTTGGTTTTATTTCATAGCAATTATGTTGGTGAGACAAGTCAAGGAGTTTTCTGCAAATCTGTTGGAGCTGGAGAAATGAAATGTGTCTAACTGTAGCAAGAGGCTGTTCTCAGTTATTTAGTTATTCAGCCACTGACAAGGCTTCCTACCGAATTATTCTATGGGTCTTTGAGACTAATGAATTGCTACTGTTAATCAGTTAGCAAACATGCCTGATAGAGAGATGTCTGATGTGAATTCAACTGGGATTCAGATCTGCTGTAGAGGGAAAGAAAAGGCTGCAAACATACAACATTGCTGATATATTAAAAAACAAAAAAAAGCCACTAGGCTGCTGAAGGATACAATTCTGCACTGGCACTGTCTCCAAGAAACCATTAATTTCTGATAGATTGACAAGGTGTCTTGGGAAAAAGCTTTGTTTTCATTTGCATTCACAAGAACGTTTAGAACTAAAATTCCAGTGTTGGTTCTTAATTGTATGGGGAATTTAGGGAAGATACTTTTGGCTGTGTTGAAGACAATTGTCCTTAGCTTTTTGCCCTAGGACCTGAACCTTTATCCCTCCTACCTCCCCTGAATACTACTGTATTCCAGACCTGGTCCTGACTTTCACAGCAGATCTAAACTCAGCAGATAAATTGCTAAGTATGGGGTTTGATCTTCAAAGGGTTACAGGGCTTCTTGGTGCACAGAACAGGGAAGAGAGCATTTTTATTTCACAGCAGTAGAACCACTTGTAATAAATATCATTTTTTGGGACCTGCACAAGTCATTGCTCTATTGTGCATGGTGTGCAGGATAAAGCAGGCATGCTCCTCATAATGATAATGTCTACCCATCATGCTGTGAACATCCCTCCTACACTTGAAAGAGACCACCACAAAAAAAAAAAAAAAAAAAAAAAAAAAAAACAACAGAGAATGGTTTCCTGAAAGCCTGTGTTGAGTTTACTTTGAGCTACAACTGAGAATGATGTATTTTGTGCCTCATTAAATCAGACCTTAGCACCTTCCAATAAACAGTTGGCTGAAAAGATACGCTATTTCTCAGCCATGGCAGCTTCTGTGCCAATGCTGTAATATGACTATTTGAAATGTTGGTGTTCTGAGCAGAAAGGAGAGAGAAACATCTCACAGTCTGTATGTGCAGGGAAGTGCTGTAAGTAGGCTATCTGTATGTTTTCCAATATATTCATTTAGTAAATAATTAAACTGCAAAAGTAACTTCACTGCCATTGGAACAGACCCTGGTTGTCAAAGCTGGATCCTGACCCCATCCCATGAGGGCTTGGGAGAAGTTTGCATCCTGTCTTACCTTTGCCTTTCAGACATCTCCCTGATTTCCCTTGCAGTGGGAAAGGGCACAGATAGTATGTACTCATCCTAAGGAGGCTGCTTAAAAAATGAAGAAGGTGCTTTACCCTTCTACAGAATCCTACCTTTTTATTTTCCTGCACAAATTAAAAAAGGTAGAAAAAGCTTGTTTTAGCCTCCAGATAAACCAGGTAAACCAAGCAAGAAAATCAACACTCAACTGTGTACATATAATTCACTGGTAAGTGATCAGACCTGTATAAGTAAAAACCTGAAATAATTTAGCAGTAAAAGGGTTATTATTTTTCAATTATTTTTCCATATGTGGTTATTAGAATAAAATTTCTGCTGTTTGTATTTTCTGTCCCTCAGAAGGCTGCATCTAGTGTTCAAATAGATCATGTTACTGCTGGCTCTTTCCACTCTTTTGAGTGTTGTACCTACAAAAAATTTTTAAACTTTATTTTTTTAATGGAAGAACCTTTTCTGTTATGTTTTCAAACTGTACATCAGTTTGGAGGAAATAGCATCAAACGTTGCACATATTGAAGCAGCTTCAATCCCAACATAACCTAATTTTAGTGTTACTGTTCTTTTCTTACGTTTACTTTGATTTTGTAACATTCTTGGTGGCAATCAAAAATGATGATTCTACTGTATTGAGCAGATTTTTTTTTATAGAATCTCAATATTTTACAAGCATGTTATTATTCTATTTATGATTGCCTATTTATTTAACATTTTTCCTACCTTGCAGTTCACCAAGAGATTTCCAGTGACGGGATGAGCTGGTCTATTCTGGGCCTGCCTGTAGTGTCTTACCTTGACTCTGGAGAGTACATCTGTAAAGCAAAGAATTTTCTGGGAGCAACAGAGGCGTTCATATCTCTCATCATCACAGACTCTGAAAGCACGGATGACCCAAACTCTTCTAATGGCAAAGGGCACATGGAATGGGAAGGCGAGTGGGATGGAAGCAGCTGCCTACAATGACAAACTAGTAGCAAGGTATGTTATCACCACCTCCACTGTGCCTACCCTGGGGGCTGGAGTGGGCACTGGAGAGGGCCTCCTCTCGGATGTGGAACAAGACAGCAACCCCAGAAACCTGCTGGTGAGCCCCCCCACCGGTCAGCAGGAGCCAGAGCGAATGGTGAGGAGTGTCAGGGTGATAGGAGACACCGACCAGAGCATCACCCTGGCCTGGAAGGCACCTCTGGCAAAGAACACGACGGTGTTCAGTGTCCTCTATGCGATCTTTGGAGAGAGGGACATGCGGCGGATCAACGTGGAGCCGGGGAAGACCAAGGTCACCATTTATGGGCTGCTTCCCAAGACCAAATACATCGTGTGTGTCTGTGTGAAAGGACTGATCCCCAGGAAGGAGCAGTGCATCATATTTTCCACGGATGAAGTTGCCAGCGCAGGAGGGACCCAGAAGCTCATCAACGTGGTTGTCATCAGCGTGGCCTGTGTCATCGCTGTTCCCCTGACGCTGGTGGTCTGCTGCGGAGCACTGAAGAGGCGCTGCAAAAAATGCTTCGTGCGAAAACCCAAGGAAATTCAGGAATCCTATGTCACCTTTGAAAGCCTGTCTCCCGGGGCCAAGGCGAAGGGCGTGGAAGGGGAATACTTGACTAGACATACCCCTGATGAGTCAAACAGGCTGCTGTCTGCCCGGTCCAGCGTGGACTCTGAAGCGATACCAAAGATAGAGGGACAACCTAATGAATACTTTTGCTGATAGCAGCTAGGATGATTGCCAGCTTGCCAAGTGGAAAGCATGTGGCTGTATATACCACTCTGTGCTCCAGCACTGCAGGCCAGCCTGTCGATGCTTCTGTCTCCAACATGTTCTGGAAGAGGATGCAAGAGGGTAGATGGTGCCCCAGCTTTACAGAAACATGTTGCTCACACTACTTGGGTTTGCTGTTTTGTACCCATTCAAAAGCTTCTGTGATAATGGCCTCGTTCTTCTGGACAACTTTTTCTTTTTTTTTCCCCTGTAAAATGAAACATGCACACTAAGTGTGAGGACATTAAGCAACATTTCTGAGTATGTTCTGCTTGGTGTTGTTTAGTACCTGCTCTGCAATATGCTAGGTATTTTATTCCCATCTCTTTTGATATTCCTCTGGTTGACAAACAGGGGAGTGTTTAGTAATTCTACTATAAATATCTATGAAGGTGAAGATTGAGAGTCTCACTTTTGACATTCCCTGTGTTTGCGTGAAACGTGCAGTTTGATGCTTAGTAGATCACTAAATACAACCTTTTCTATTGTGTCCAACATAATAACAACTCTGCTCTGAATTCATAGAAATGTGCAAAGGAGATAGAAATAAAGAGACAAAGCCCAATCTACTCTTAAGAATCATAATAGCATTTTCTGATTGCATTGTCGCCCTAAACACTAAACAACAGTACAGCACAGGTCCTTCAGTATTGGTCCTAGCTGGCATTTTGTAACTGTATTGTAATTAGTAGAATATGTTTTATATCAGCTGTGCTAGATTTAAAAATAATGTAATAACCTAATTTGCACATTGTGTGTGGTGTTGTAATGCTTTGTAATCATACTGGAAAACCTGCACTGGACAGTTTTGCAAAAATCTCCCAAACCAGTCCTGTCATTGCTGCCTGTGCTCCTGGCAAAACTGATAGTGAAGACCCACGTGGTCAACCAGGCACTTGTGACTTGGTTGTGCAAATAACTTGCTCCATGCAGAGCAGGAGAATGTGATGCTGTGATGGATCGCTGGCCACGCACACGTCAGCCCTAACTGACTATGGACTCAATGGTGGCAGAGGCTCAGGGCAGACTTGTGGGTTAAAAACATTTTACAAGTTCAAGAACCCTGAAAAAACCCTGTCTAATATTAATCTAAATGTACTTTCATAGTCAGGGTAAGTTGATCAGTCATTGAAGTCCTGCAGCTTCACCGGAATTTGGATCTAAGTGCTTATCACAAAGTACTTCGCTGATGCATAATTTTCCATTCAATTCTTTCATGTAGTAATACTGTATATAACATTTTTTCTCTCTGTAATAAATATTATTCATGAAGAAAATTATATATGTTCTGCCAAAAGTTGAATGGGAGAGATCTAGCCAAGTTGAAGTGGTAATGGGTAAAGCTTGCTGAATTTTTTGAAATGTGTGCTGGTAAATTTATTGGAAGGACCTCCATTCACATTCTGGACGTTTATGTACAGTGTGGGTTAAGTTCATGGGTTGGAATGGAGCCATGTATGGATTTTGCAAGTCTTCTACAGTTATGGCAGATTTCTTGGCCTGATGGAAAAAGCAAGTCATTTGATCTCAACATAAATACGTTGAACAGGGGTACATTGCAGTAGTTTCTGATAAGACTCCCTGTATTCCTTACATTAATGATAAAGAGCTTCTCTTGTACTGGGAGAATTTGTATAAATTATTATTGTATACACCCTGTATAAAATAATGTGTGCTAATTCTATCACTGGACTGTGTAGATTTTTAGGTTTGCAAAAAAAGTTTTGTAAAATGATGTATTTCAATACAACAAATTAACTGATGAAATATGTGGTGTGTAATAGATTTATTACTTATTTGTACAGTTGCATTTCTGAACATTTTTAGTCTCTTCTCCAAGGTAGAAGAAAAATATTCTTCCAGTGGCAGTTTTTGTGATGAGTTACAAGGAGTGCTATGTGTTACCCTGATTCCTGCCTACATCTACAGCCACTGGGCTGTGCAGAAATCAGCCTGCCATGGCCCTGGATGGCTAAAATCCTGAAGAATCAAGGCTGTCCTAAAATTCTCCTGTGGTGAACCGAGTGGACCTACTGCCCAAGGACTTACCTGTAAGTCAAGTTTACAGGAGCTGACTGGGTACCATAGGTATTTACTTTTCAGCTGACTGGAGACACGAGGTGGGTAATTTGCAGCCTCCAGCCCTGGTGAGGAGCAGCTGTCACCTGCTGTGACACACAGTCTGTGAGCTGGCAATGGAAGAGGCACCAGCTGGGCCAGCACTGTTGCTCTTTGCCTGAGAGGAGGAGAGGATGGAAGGATCATCCTGTGACATTCACTGTGGATGTGTTAAATTTTAAAGACTATTGGATATATTTTGCACTTTGAATAAATAGTGATTCCAAGTAGAATAAACATGATTTTTCTTTTCTCTTTCCTGTGGTTATTCTCACTGTCTCATAGATGAGGCATCACAGTTTATCATCCCAACTGCTGCTGCTTCAAAACAAGCCTTTCTACTGTACTGGTGACTCACACAAGACAGGCAACACAGACTTGTACAATCTCTGTGTCATCTGGCATGGGTCAGATGAGAAACTCTATACTTGCTAAACTCTGAGTGTAATTTCAAAGCATTAAGTAGACTGATTCTGTGCTGAATGTGACTTCAAGGCTCTGAGTCAGATTTTCAGTAGTATCAGACATATAAAGATAAATATCTCACTGGATTTTCTGTTGCCATTGTAATGAAAGAGCTGTTTGTTAGGCATCTAGTTTCATCATGGTAAGGACAATATTCATCTCTGCAAACAATTTCTTCCTCGGTTAAAGTCAATTCTCAAGATGTGCTGTAAGAACCAGAAGAAACATCTGAATATCTTTTGGAATTACTGCATTAGTAGCTTTTTTATTATTATTATTTGTTGACACTTTGTTCTGTTCAGTTTTCTTTTCCCTTGGAAAATGTTTGCTCCATTAATAATCTCTTTGTGTCAGGTTTTAACAAATTTGTTTCTCTCGGGGGTCTATTTCAAATATTTTGGCATTAAGTGATGTATTTTGGAATCTCTTTGAGTATAATGTTCTCTACTATTACTATTTTAAAATTTCCTCTCAGATGAGTGTTGGGCCATGTCAGGAATACTTAGGAATAAACTAAGGAGGTTTGCACCAGCAGCCTGGGCTGAGGAATTTGGAGAGCAGTATGAGCCACTCCTCGATGGGCACAGCATGTGATGTATAACAAAGACAAGCTCCTCCTTCCACAGTATCTTTTAGCACTTATTTTGGAAATCAGAGTAGTGTAAAATTGAAAAGATAAGGATAAAGTTTAAAAGAGAAGGTAATAAAGTTTTAAAAATTAATCCAAATAGCTCTGAACTGTACCTAAAATTTTTATTATTTCATTCTCTTAAAAGGATCTGCAAGAAAACAGCTATCAAAATGAGGGAACCAAGCAGAATATAAATTAAATAATGTGCTCAAAATGGTTAAAATTGAGTCCTGCAAGTAGTTGAAGTACAAGAAGAAATATAGAAACAGGTATTGAGGCTTTGAAATATGTTTTCCCAAACATCTTTAAAAGTCTGCAGATTATATGGTGAGTAGATCCAGACAAAGGCTAATATTGGATCTGAAATATAAAGTCTCTGCAAATATTTTTAATGCCACATATGCATAAAAATTCCACAAGTGCAAAGTAATGTTCAGACTGACCACAATGTGATTTAAGCATGTTGGAAGGCTATAATTGCATTAAGTGTGGTAAATTTCACATTTATTTCCAAGTGCCTGGAAAGAATAGACTAAAAAGTATTTGAATGACAAAAATACCTAGGACACAAAAGGGTGCATATACATAGACATAAATTTGAGGAAAAAAACTACTAAAAGCATCAAAAAGGACAGTAAAATATTTTTCAATGTATTTTAAAAACTAAGTGGACATTGAGGAATGACTTTGAAAGTATTCCAATAGTAAAATAAAATCTAAAGACTAAAAAGGTCCCAAAGAAGCTGATGTTCAAGTTCCTCAGTGTCAGAATTGACTGGGAAACCCTGTACAGTTTCAGGATGTATTTCATTAGTAGTCATTGCTGCAGTACTGTGGCTTAGTGTGAGCTTCACCAGCTTTAAAGTCCATGAGCAGAAGACAAGAACTATTGCCCAAAACAGAGCAAAAGGATTCTTTCCCATTTGATTTTCCTGTTACTCAAGGTTATAAATAAAGAATTTAGCAATTGTCAGCAATGGTCCAAATGGATGAGAAATAAGGGTGTACTCCTCAGTGAGCAGGAGAAGGAGCTTCTCAGAGCAGCCGTGAGCCCTGGAGCAGTGCCCATATTGCCCAAAAGCCAGGGCTGCCACTGTACAGTACTGTATCTGAAACACCCAACTGCAGCCTTCAGCTCTTATGTCCTATCCTGTGGGGATTTCTAACACTGAAAGCCCTGGCAGAGGGACTAATTGTAAAGCTTCAGCCTAAACATGATTTCTTACAGGCCCGTGTGTGCCCGTCACTTCAAGATGTGCAGTTTGAGTCCCTGGCCATAGCTGGGGGCACATGATGGGTGTCCTTTTGGCGTTTGCTTTGGCAATCAGTGCAACCTCCTAAACTCCACTTCCCATGGATTAGCAGACAATGTCTCTATGGAGATTTATTCTGACAGCTCGGGTTTTAGACAGCTTGTTCTGCATTTTGGCTTTGGCCAGGATGCCACATGATGTTAAATAGCAGCTGAACTGAGTGGACATCTGCTGTCACAATAGTGACCATTAAATTTACAAGCAGGCATAAACTGAGCTGAATTAAAAAGGCAAAATCCCACTCCAGTAGGGAACATAAATGTAAGGGCTGTGGTTAACACCAGGGGATTTTCCTTTACTTCCCCTCCCCCTTTCTTTTCCTTCCCTGCCTCTCTCTGCCTTAGATAGTGGGTAGATTTGCTACCCATTAATTCATCTGATTTTGATAAGTAATTCATCACTAGTCTCTCAGGTTAATAATGAACCTTCTGAGTGCACTTGGAATTTGGAAATATTTAGATAAATGGCCTCTCAAGCAGCAAATAAATATCAACCTGAAAACAGCCTGAGCATTGGCCCATGGTACTAACAGCACCCTTTGAAAAGCTATTTTCCAGCCTTGTAGAGGAGAGATACAACTGGGAGTAATTCTCATGTGGGAAAAGGAAAAAAACCTGCAATTTTTTTTTTTTTTTTTTTGTCTCTAAACAACACATTTATTTAAATTAATGTATTTATAACAGAGAACCTTGGATATCATTTTACGTCCATCCCAGGACACTGGGCATTCTACACCTGTTCTACGCCCAAGGATGTACATGGAGGGAAAATCACCAGTAGTTTTTACTCTGTTTATAAACCTGTTAATAAATAACACTTCACTTTTCATGAAAGATTTTTGGAAGACTTTAACCGCTACATACTGTAATACTCCCCTCTGTGCCATGGAGGAGGGGTGTGAAGGTGTCGAGGAAGGGGTCTTTTCAAAGTTGGGCCTCAAAAGACCAAAAGTGAATCCCTCCTGCTGCCCTGCTGGTGCAGCTGGGACAACCAAACCATCCCAACCCAGGGGCCTCGCTGGGGGCATGTGTGCAGCTCACTAAAATTTGGTAATTTTCTATCACATTTCCCTTGAATCCCATGCACTGGTGGATCTGTCTATTCATCATGAACACTTGGCCAGGATGACTGAACAAAAGTCAATGATCTGGGTGGACTTCAGCCATTTATTCCATCACAGGAAGGCCTCCCCTAAAGCTGAACACCATCAAGAGACTTGTTTTCTTTCGCTTCTGCCTTTTGCTTCTGCTGAAGGCCCTACAGCTCCCACATGGAGCTAAAGTGAAAAAATATAAAATTATTATAAAATAGTTATATCTTTGTTTTATTAGGGAATATTTTCATGACAGGTGGGGAATTTATATAGCTGCTGCATCTGCTGTGCTACAAACCAGCAGCCTTATCCTTCAGTCCTTGCTCACTGACATGTTTAAATGTAGTGTAGTTGCTGAAAAAATCAAGTATTGCACCATGGACAAATAGGAACATTTCACTTAAAAAAAATCCGTAAAAATCCAATGTGCTCACGGTCAGAAGCCAGGCACAGTGAGCAATAACAGCTCCACAGGGCCACCGACTCATTGCCTGCTGCTTATACACAGGGGACAGTCACAAAGTGCTGCATCAGTCCCCAGCAGTTTCCCCACCAGTTCATTGTGCTGATTTGCCATGAAATAAAATCTCTCTTGATTTAAACGCTGCAGAATCAAGCCTATGTCTTCTGTAGGTTTAGAGCAGCTGTGCTATTACACACACCCTGAGAGCCAGGTATAGCTCTAAGCCATCAAGCTATAAATATTTTTCTATCCTTGTCCCACAGGTCAGAGGTTAAGTAGGTTCAGGCTAATCTTGCTTTGTGACCCAGCATCACACATATGTGCAGTGAGGTGAGCCCCTTTCCAAGGCACACTCTGCAGGCTGTAGTGAAGCCCATCCACACTAGGTGGCCCCAGGAGAATGCAGAACTCCTTGGAAATAATAAACAAAACCTACTATTTTGGCTTTTAAAAAAAAAAAAAAATTGGTTACTCAAAATCCCTTCTCACAGAACTGCTTAGACCGAGTTTTTCAAGGTGCCTGAAAGGCAATCAGAACATCTTACAGGGGAAGCCAGAGAATAGCACTGAAATTTTATATTTCTAGAAGAGATTGACTACCAGATACTCTTATCTCAGAGAAACCCAGACTGGTCAGAACTACGTTACTATTTTCATTACCAACATGTAAGGATTGAGCTAGTGGGGAAGGGAGGGGTGGAGTTGTTTCAGTGGAAAATTGTTCCATACTTACCTTTCCATCTAAGTTTGGGGAGTAGGTTTCACGCTCACCATGAATACACCCTGCACAGTGCTGTGGGCAGAGTTTGGGGCTGGATGGATTGGGCAATACAGCACTGCGCACTGACGAATTACAGCTGTAAAGTCTGGCCCTTACTGTGGTGTTCTGCCTTGATAAATACCATTAAAATACAGGAGACAGAGACAGAACCCTTGAAATAAAAAGAAAAAAAAATAAAAAAGGTAATTAGGCCTTATTAATGGCAACGGAAGTGGTTTTGGCTCCATTTTTGTATTACCAACCAAATAAATATGTCTGTCAGAATCCCCTCAGCTAGAGGATAAATTCCAAGAGGGGTCCCGGGGGTGATTTTTAGCACTTCAACACAGACTATGAACCATACTACATGTCTTCTTTAGGGTTGGGTACCCAGCAGGATTTATTTCTGCGTCAAGGAAGATTACAGCTAATAGGATTTGCTTCTTGGAGGCTGTTGGCATGTTTGGTGCAAACCCCTGCACAGTGCTTTCTTAAAGGAGAATATGGACCCTGTTTGTCATATTTTTCTTCTTCTTCTGGCTTTCCACAAGATAAACCCATCTGTTTCGTCTTGTATCACAGGATGCTCTTGTTCTCAAGACAGCTTTGGAAGGTAAGAACGCTAGTTACTCCTGTTGTAGCACCAGTAAAGCAGCTCATATATATTTGTCAATGATGTGAGCATCAAAACCAGATTGGTGCATGGAGTGCCTCCTTCAACACTTGTATTAGCTTGGGCACAGAGTGAGGTTTCTCTTATTTTCCTGAGATATGTAGTTGCATACATAGACATTTTTATAATTGCATTCATAGACATTTAATCTCATTCTTTATGGGAAAATTGGTATAAAACCCATGGAAGAATGATGTATGGCTTAGGCATGCCCTCTATACAATACCATGTAATTATTCAGGTGCTTGTTGTCCTCTATAAGGAACTGGTTTGTTAGCCACAAACGTGGTATGTGACCTGCAGAATTTTCTGTTTTCCTCCTTAGGAGTTTGCTCTGCATGTCTGCACCGCTGAGGCAGATCCCTGCAAACATCCCTCAGGACATCCGGAAAATTAGAATTGAAAATTCTCACCTAACAGAATTGCCTCGTGGGTCTTTTGAGAATGTTAGTGCCTTGGAGTATCTCTGGCTCAATTTTAACAACATCACAGTGATGCACATCAAGAGCCTGGAATATCTGCCAGCTCTGCAGGAGCTGCGCTTGCAAGGGAACAAATTAAGTTCAGTGCCATGGACAGCATTTCAAGACACTCCGACTCTGAAAATCCTGGATCTGAAGCACAACCGGTTGGATGTCCTTCCAGAACACGCGCTCCGCTATCTACCCAACCTGACCTATTTAGATCTATCCTCAAATCAGCTTACCATCATATCCAGGGATGTCTTCTACAACTGGCCTGTCTACCAGAGAAGCCAGAGGACAGAGGGGCAGATAGAAGCTATTTCCAATGCTGTTCTGGCCCTCCACGACAACCCCTGGATTTGCGACTGTCGCCTGCGGGGATTTGTCCAGTTTATCAAGTCGGTTGGCCCACCTATTATTCTGATGAATTCCTATTTAACGTGCTCAAGTCCAAAATTCAGGGCAGGGAAGTTTTTTCATGAAGTGGAGCTTAACAGCTGCATGAAGCCCCTGACCTCAGCCCTTGACACCAATCTGACAGTCCCAGCGGGGCTAAACATCACCCTGACCTGCTTTGTACAAGCCAGCCCATCCCCTGCTGTCTGGTGGACCTATGCACTCAAACTTTTAAGGGCATTTAATGGTAAGCAAAGTTTTTCTTCTTCTTCTTTTTTCTTTTTTCTTTTTTCTTCATTAAAAATTTATGCTCTGCTATTCTACTTACATAGGTCTGCAGGTCATCACAGTCGCCACAGCAACTCTCAGCCCCTTTAGAGCACCACAGTTATTGAGGTGGCAGTAATCCAAATAATCTTAATCATCCTATGCATCTGGTCACATCTGACCAGCATAAGAAGAGCTGCTTCATGCAGGATATCAGTCAAAGATGAAAGGAGCATGGCCTCATTTTCACACAATTATCCTATGTGTGGATTTTCAGTAGCAGTTCTTTCCTCATGACACATGATGTAGGAACTACTAATACTATATCAGCTGTACATATTTAATAAATACGTAGTTATTCAAATATACATGTATATTTACACTATATATTATCTACTACGTATATATATATGTACATACTCTATATAATTATATTTTTATGTACACGTGTATGAGCCCACACACATATACACAGGCTTGTGTGTTCCTGTACTATTTCCATAGAGTTCCTCCAGAAATACCACACAAACCCAAAACAATGCAGCTCTGTTGCCTATGTCCATTCATGTTCTACCAACTGAAACAGAGGTTGTTGTTCTCCTAAATGTCGCTTATTTATGTTCTTCATTGATGGCCTCATAAAATGAAAGCTTTTCCTCTTCCTCTTAATCCATCCTCCCTCACGTTTATTTTTACTAAGAGTCTTCAATAGGACGAGTTGCTATTTTCATCAGGTAAGATAATAGGCATACAGGCACTGCACAGGCTCTGTGTGTTCCTAATAAGCCAGCTAGCTAAATGGGATAGCATTAGCCCTTAATCCTGGGTTGATATCTGCTTCAATTGCAGCACTGTAGCAGCACTTGTGTGCCTTTCCACAAGCACATGCTGAATTTATTACATACATTGTTTTCCCAACCTACGCCCCTGTTTGGGTAGCTGACAGGGTTTCATGTTGTTCTTAAAACTGCATCTCACTTCCAGCCCAACATTTCCTGTTTCCATCCACTTCTTTTTGGCCTGAGCCTTTTGAGTCTGACATTTTTCCACACTTAATCCTAAGAGAGGATGGAACATGTGTCTAAAATGTATCTGTGTCCTCAGTGGCTCTCCCTGGTTTGCCCTGACCTAAGAATGCTGATGACAGATGGTACATGGGCCTCTGTCCGCATCAGCCTCCCTAGCAACTTGTGCTGGGGCTGGGGTCAGGTGCACTCCACGTCTCCTGTGCTTGGGTGTCCCAGTGTATTTATTGCCTTTCAGACAGGCAACACTTTCCTGATGTGCTCTGTGCGGTTTGGCACACTCCTGTTTCCCATCTTCCTTTTTCCCTGGGTGGGGCAGGTCCTGCCAGTGCCCCATCCCACACTGGTCTCAGGGCACGGTGGTTCCCTGCTGGCATGGGCAGGAGGGGGCCCTACCTGCTGACACAACTTCCCTCTGCCCCTCTGCAGTGACCACTGAGCCCATCAGTGAGGAGACTGTCCGCTCTGAGCTGCTGATCCCAGCGGCACGACCAGCAGACGCCGGCAACTACACCTGTACAGCCGCCAACTTCTTGGGTAACACCTCAGTGGCCATCAACCTCCGTGTGGTGGCCCCGTGGGCGTCCACCACTCCCCGGGGCTGGGCCCCCATGGCTCCCGCTGAGCCGGGCGCCCACGTGGAAGTGCGCATTGCCAAGCAGACGGTCTATGGCATCACCCTGGAGTGGTTTGCAGCGGCGGCGGCGGCAGCAGAGCCAGGGGAGACCTGGTACACCCTCCTGGTGGGCCGCTATGATGCCGCCCAGAAGGACACCATCTACATCGGCCCTGGGGTCAACACCTACTCGGTGACCGACCTGCTGCCCGCCACCAAATACGAGGTCTGTGTGGCTGTGCGCAACCAGGCTCCCCGCAAGGGCCAGTGCGTCGTCTTTGTCACGGGCAGCGACGTCAGCCAGATGGAGCAGCGTGAGAAGCTCATCCACATTGTGGTCATCGTGTGCGCCATGGTGCTGGCCGTGCCGGCCGGCATGTACGCCTGCACCGCCGAGGCCCTGCCCGGCTGCCTGGCCCGCTGCCCCAGAGCCTGCCCCCGCCGCCGCCGCGGGGGCCAGGCCCAGGCTGCCGGCAGCAAGGAGAGTACGCTGGACAGCATTCCCGCAGGCAGCGAGGACGGGCTCTGCCGCCCCGAGGACATCCACAGCACCCGGCGGCCCCAGACCCGTGAAGAGCTCGGCAAGACCCGGCCGCCCCACAGGAACAGCGCCGACCTCTACTAGCGCAGCCCCTGCTCCCCTGTGAGCGCGGCCACAGCGGCACCTTTCGCAGGCCACCTCGGGCCACAGCACGTGCTGGTTTTCTCGAAGGACCACGCCAGGGCGGCTCTGTGCTGCAAGGACTCAGGGCACGGCGGGGCACATGACTGTTGTTTGCAGCAGGCTTGGGGAGCCCTGGGAATGGAGGTGCCCGGCGTGTCCGACCGCGGGTGTGGAGCTGTGCCTGCAGCCCTGGGCTGCCCCTGCAGCACTGTCATGGAGCAACGCACACTGACACACCAAAAAAACCAGCACTGACAAAAAAAACAACCCACAAACCAGTATTAATGCTTCTGGACAAAGGTCAAAGGTCTCCCCTCACTCACTCACACAGGCGTGTCTTTAATTATTTATTCTTCTTGCTCACAGCTCTGCCCAGCACCAGGTGCCAGCTTCTCCTGTGTGCCACCTCCTGGGAATGGACAGGGGAGCTGAGCAGGGCTGTGGTCACAGCCAGCAACGAGTGGTGGGGAGGATTGGGTGAACACGATGGACAGAGATTTTTTTTACTTGGAGAAAACCTTTTTTATTCTGACCAGAGGTGTTGAATTTGGGGGTGGTTTTTTTGTTTTGCTTTGTTTTGTGGGTTTTTTTCTTACTCCTCCTTAAGGTTTACGCAGCCCTAGGAGATTCACAGCTTTGGTTGTACTGCAAACAGGAAAACTGCAAATGCTTACCGAACACTCCAGTGTAATACAGCCACAGCTCACCTCCTTGCTAGAGGCAAAAAAGCCCTAATAAGCACCTAAAAGGAACTACTTCCTGCTTGCAGAGCAGCTCACTGCTGTGATTCTCAGGGGTCTGAGGACATGTGACTTATTATTTTTCTTTGTTTGACCTCACTCTTTCCAGCACAACCAAAGTACGTGGCCCTTGTCATATGTGTTGTTATAGATTGTCTAAAAAATATAAATCTACAGTAGACACTCCAGCTGTAAGCAGAGATAGAACCTAATGTGACCTTCATGCTGTGGTAGTTTGGCTTTCTAGTTGTATTTTGGTTTTTGGTGTGTGTTTCCCATGCTGTCTCCCCTCAGGCCCCACGGTTCCTCCCCCAACGCCTCTTTCTGCTGTAATGTGCTGTGCAGCTTTTGAACAGAGACCTGTTTTGTCACTGCTGACTCTTGGTGTGAATACTTCACAGGACTTCCTAGTCTTGTCAGTCTTTTAGTGTCAAAGCAATAAACACGACAGATTTTCAGAATACACAGATGTCCTCTGCTTCATCTCTAGCCTTTTACAGTTACAAGTTGCAAAGAAACAGAATGCCAAGGAGCTCCAGGGTTTGGCTGCAGGGATGGAGGAGGCCAGGCAGTTGCAGCACATGTCACAGAGGGTCTGGAGTGGTGAAGAAGGGGCAGAAACAGCCAGCCAAACAGGGAAACCTTGACCTGGAAAAGCTATCCATGTAGACAGTGCATACTGAGTGAGGCATGAGTTGATGCTGGTTGAGGACAAGCGTGGGGCCGTGGATGAAGGGGAGTGAAAAACAAACCACTGTCTGTAATGACTGGCCTTCCATCGCAGTTGACACAGAGAAACAATGGTACACGCTAGAGACTGGAGAAAGCTGCTGAACCACAGCAAGGGAATAGCCAGAAAATGACAAAACATCCCATCACCAGGTGTAGAAAGTTCATAACAAATCACATACCCACTGGCATCAGGCTGAATATTCTGCCTCGTGAGGAGCCTTCCTGCCCCCAGGGCCATGCTGCAGTGGAGTGCAGAGCACCACAGGATCCTGCCCATCCCCTGTGCCTCACAGCATCTTGCTTCTCACCTCCTCTTTCCAGCCTGGTATTGTCCAAAAACCACACAGCCCCTCTCTTGACTCGCAGCCCACAAAAGGGTCCCTTTGGCCATCCTAGAAAGCCGCCTGGCTGCCCGTGCCCTTTTGATCATATAACAGGCAATGACAAGGCATCGTTGCAAGCAGAAGCCCACCACACACAGAAGCATCTTTTCCATTTTTTTTTCTTTTTTAATTTATTAACAAAAACCCTTGAAGTGGAAATACAGAGTAACTTGGAAAGAACCTTACAACATAGTAATAAAACATCTTTATTGCCTCTTAAATATAATCTCTAAGACTATAAGCCTGTAATTCCTATTAAATCTCACTTAATTGAATGGTCTTTATAGGCTTTCCTCATTAGAGAATGCACACTGAATACTGGCTTTAAAACAACATTAGGAAGACAGTAGTATGGGGAATAAACAACAGACTTTTGGTACCTCAGGAAACATTGCAGACCCTGGGGAGACACAACCAGCAGAAGGCGTGTGCTTGCACAGGGCAGCAAGAGAGGGGTTCCACCGACCAGCTCACGGTCAGGGGATGAGGACAAGATGACTGCACACAACATCACTGCCACACTGCCCCAGGGATGGGGGATAAGCAAGAAAACTGTGGAGAAAAGGAGAGACATGACAGGAGAGGTTCTGGGTGCAGCGCTGCTGTCATGGCTCCCAGCTGTGACACTGCTGTACCTCTTGGTTACAGCTGCTGGCTCAGCCCATGGGTAAGGAGCCACGGTCACCCTCTGGCTTCTAGGTGGATTGAACTGAAGTTAAAAAATATAGGATTTTCCCTGTAAGTGGGTAACTTCTTATCCAGCAATCTATCCCCTAAACTAATGAAGTCCTAGTGCAAAAAAGGGTATTTTTCCAGCTAGTGGAGTAAGAGGACATCTTACTCCAGGTCGACTGGTTTAACTGAAATGACAGCTGGACAACTCTCAGAAACCCTTTGAATTAAGTGTCCTATCCTGTTGGGTTTCTTCCCCACCTTGATGTTCCCAGTGTCAATGCATGACAGCACAGCTTCTCTGCAGGGCGAGGGCTCAGGCAGAGGGTGCAGGGTGCCCCACCAGCCCAGTCCATGCTGCCTTCTTCCCAGGGGATGGGAAACAGCCTGATGCCCAGTTGAAAAACATCTCCTCAGAAACAAACATGAGGGAGAAACCATGGGGTAGATCCAGTGAAAAAAGTGCTCTGCCCTTAGGGGTTTTTACTCTCACTTAACAGAAAAAAAAGCGTCAGCTACTTTCCCACCCTCCTTGCCCCCCTTCCCATTAACTTTTGCATAATTCACTCAAAAATAGGACAAACCAGAATATTTTATGGAAACCTCATTTTGCACTCACCAGTCCCTGGAACAAGCCAGCAGAGGTGATGAAATATATTCCTTGACACTTTCTGGTAGCAGTGTACAACACCGCATGATCTTTCCAGACACTTCCCTGACCAACATATGCAACTTTCCAGCACTTGTCTGTATTTTTCACTTATCGTTTGACTCTCACTTTTACCTTGTCTTCCCTGTGGATTTATTCATGCCCTTCTCCTGCTGGGTTCCTCCTTTTCTGAGGCTCAGAGTCAGAAGGAGGCAGTACCAAGAGTGTTGCTTCTGAGCTTCTTGCCCCAGCTGGCCTAGGGAAGGCTGAAAAGCCCCTCCTGTCTCCTCCTCAGCAGGCAAGTCCAGGGCAGAAGCAAAGCGCAGCATCATGTCAATGCACTCTGGCAAAACCCAGCATAAGCTGCAGGAAAATGAAGAACTTCTCCAAACCTGCCTGCTTACCTTTTGGGAATGAAGGTACTCAGGCCACGAGCACATCACTCCGCCAGCTGTTGCAAAGCATGCTATGGCCTGAGACAGGGCAGTGTCACTGCTGTAGGAGACCTGCACATTGACTCGGTGCTCATGCCACAGCCAGGCCAATGTCTTCAAAAGTGGGTCTGGGATTTGAAGTGGTGGGATTTTGGACACCTCAAACCCAGCTCAGACCAGCTTTGAAGCAGCATCTTCCAGGGCAGCCTTGACTGCAGAGCATCTTGTTTGAAAACCCAGGTTCTGGGTAAAGACCTCCAAACCGGGGGAAACCTGAATCCCTGTTCACCTGGGGAGATTGTGGCTGTTGTACTCAGCACCATGGTCAGACAGCTGCAGGGAGGGAGCAGCAGTGGGACACGTGCTGAAGGAACTGCAGTTGAGACTGGACACAGACTGCAGCACTTCTGTGGGAGGGGTGACTGTAGCATGTGGTCCTTGTGGAAGGTGAGGGGTGGCTATCACAGTGAGGAGCTGCTCTTGGTTCACAGGGTGCTGACAGACAGGAGGAAGATCACAGTACATAAATACATCCATGCACAGCCATAGTCTGCAGTCTCTGGGGGCTGCAGGGAGCACCTAGATGTGGGGCTCCCCAGTAGCTGCGTTCCTCTTCTCAAACCTCATTTTGAGTTCCGACACGAGGGCGTTGTGGGTGCTGCCATGACCTCTCTTCTTTGGTGGTTTGATTATATGCTTGGGAGTGAGGGAGCCGGACACGGTTGGCACCTGCCACCCTGGGGCATCGCTCCTGGGAGCCAGGGCAGGGGGTGGCGGGGGCAAGGGGGCTGATGGCAGCACAGGGGCAACTTGGATGTTGTTGTTGCTATTCTCATTGTTCTCAGGTAGGCTCTTGACATCATCCTCAACGACAAACTTCTCTGCAGCATTGCTGGGCCTCTTGAACTTCAGCCAGTCCATCCTGACTGTCCGGGATGGCGGGATCTGTCTCTTTTTTATGATCCTTCTTACCGGCATGATTTTGCTGGACCGCTTGTTGCGCCAGAACATGGCAGTAGAGATCATGATAGTTATCAGCACCATTATGCCCATGACACCAGCTAGCACTCCTAAGGCTTTCATGGGGTTATCTTTAGTTTGCATCAAAAAGGCGGCCATAGGCCCTTTGTGAAGAGTCTGTAAAGGAGTACAAAGAAAACACATGACTTACTCTAGGGGACAGACAATGACCTAGAAATTTCATTTGTCCAAAATATGTAACAAGCAGGGCTGATTGATGGAAGTTGTCTCTAAGAAACATGAAGTCAAAGAGCCAGTCCAAGGGTGAAGAATTTAGACAGGGCTGGAGACTGGGCAAATATTACAGTACTGTGAGGTAGATGACTGTTGAACACAAAAGCTTATAGAAGTATTGCCACTAAATTAGGACAGATTCCTGCATGTCACCATAGTGTTTGTTTAACTTGCAAGAACAGAGCAAGAAAATAATTGGCTCAGCTACTGAACATGGCATTGAAAAGATTATGAGAAAACTTCATTTTATAAAATGGCAGTGTAAAAATGAATAGTTAGCAGGTATGTGCTGCATTCTGTTTTCAAGTACTCTTTTACAGACATAACAAAACTCTTTGAGGTAGGGGAGATGAGTAGAGCTAAAGAGCTTTGTTTTCAGAAAGAAAAGAAATAAGCAATGACATACACTACATATGGCATATTAAGGACAAATGAATGGCCAGTTCACTTTCCAGGTTAGCACACTGTACGTCTCGGAGGTCCCCGTATAATTTTGCGGATTTTGCCCTGCGGGTGGAGCCTGGATCTTTTCACACTTTTCCAGTACATGATGGTGGAGATCACCATTGTAACAGAAATGGTGGAAAGGACGCCACTCATGCATATTCCAAATATTGTCCATGGACGCTTCTTGAGGCCTAAAATATAGGATTTTACCCTGGACTTGATCTGGAAATATCAAAAATAAGAGAAACGGTCAACCCTCACATGGTTATACTTGAAAGAGGCCAGTATCTATTATAAATACAGCTGGGGATCTAGACTGAAATGTGTACAGAATTGAGAGCCTATAAAATAAGGAGAGCTAAGTGTTGAACTAGGCACAGGAGGCACTTGTAATGATGTTGAACTGAATCCAGAAATACTAAAAGAAGTTAGGAAGCACATATAAACACCTGGCTGATTGGGGAATAAAGGGTAGCAGCGTGGCACATAGATTAGGAATCGACCTGACCTAGAAACTAAAAGCAGAGCAGCCCATGATTTGGTGGAGCTCAGATTCACATCAGCTTTGTGGTTCTGCATTTCATGGATTTTTTTGTACTTAAATCCCACCAGATGACAGAAATTCTACCCTTGTTTACTTAACTTCACATGAAAGCCAGATGAATTAAGTGTCAGATAAAACCTTCTAAGTACATGGCCTGAAATCAGTCCACTTGTTATGAGTGTTGTCAAGATTTGTTTTGTAGCAAGGCACTGATGGCTGAAGAGTATAGGACCAACACAAGGAGAAAGATGACATATATTTAAGAAGATGCTGTACCTCATTGATGATTATTCACTATTAGGTATTTAAAAACCTTGAATAAATAGGATGAGACAGAAGTATGTGTTGCTAGTGTTGTACAGTTACAGGGGTAAAAACTGATGAAACTTGTATGGGGAGTTTCAGCATTTTGCTTCTTTCAATCCCCTGGTCTCAGTAAGTTTGGCCCCTGTTCAGAGCTTCAAATGACGAAGAAATGATTAACACCAAAACCAAAACCATTAACAGTTAACTGGTTCAGTCTCTATTCTAGTTACTGGACCTGTACAATACAAAGCTTTGTCTAGAATTAGCCTTGAATAACAACTCTTCTTTTACATCTGCATAAAAGCATCAGGCATCTTGTAAGCACACAGTGGGAGAATTCCTATTTGTCATGACCATGACATACTCAGAATAAATAGGAGGAATAACTTGCAAACCAATCCAGGAATTTCATCATCTTAGCCAGCCTTCAGAGAGGCTTATGGGAAGTGCCTTTGTGCCTTTGTCACCAAAAAACTGCATTTTTGTCTGTGTCATCACTGTGGCCCGGTCAGTTAATACACAGAACAGGTCTGAGAGAGGTCTGGGCACATTCTGACAGTGAAAGTCTGGGAACATTTGGACAAGTCACACGAAGCAGTTCAGCCCTGAGCACTACCCTACACATTTAAAACACCTTCAGATCCTTGTGTCGATTACCAGCAGTTTGACAGAGCTGGGTCAACAAATAGTGTCACTTTGTACTTGCTGAAGCTGTTGTTTTTTCATGAGAGGTATGCTGTATTTTGAAGAGTACTGTTTTCTCTTGTACATATAAAACAAACACAGATACATAATGAAATGAAAGCTGCCATATCTCTGTAGGCCAGAACCTGAAAGAAACATTTCCTTCTTAACAGGCATCAAAGGAGTTAAAATACCACTGCTTACAGAATGCTCTGATGGTTTTTGCTGTGGCAGCTTCTCAAGAATCTGTCCTAATGCATGGGTTGCAGTGTGCACAGCAAGTGGGCCATGTATCCAAAAGCTGGACCCAACAGGAGTGTGTGGCTGAGCTGTTCAACCACAAGACCAGCTAAGGCTCACCAGTTATATTTAGAAGTCTAAGTAAGTAGGCGAAGCTGTTAAGAGATCAAGCTATTCCAGATTATTGTACATGTGGCACTTAGGGACATGGTTTAGTGGTGGACTTGGCAATGCTAGGTTAGCAGTTGGACTCAATGATCTTAAAGTCCTTTATGAACCCAAACATTTCTATGATTCTATTACTTACAACTCAGGCTGCATGGACTTGAGCAAATGGATCTGTACAATGAACCAGTTGGTTCTGAGGACCCCACATCCACATATTCAGCATTTCTGGGGTTTTGCTCCAGCCTTATTGCAGGGATGGCGTGCCTATCAGCACCAAGGCACACCAGGTGTGCTCCCCAAATACATTTCCATCTGAAAGAAGTCCACTTTGTGTGCTTAGAGCTATCTGAGACAAAGGCTATGCCACAGCATGTTGGGATGATGAGGAGATTTGCTTCAGAAGTGACTCCTGATCCGAGGTAGAACACAAGCTGCCCCTGCAGTGTTTACACCAAATTGCAGTGTTATCACCATATATGAGAGCTCTGTTTGCATCACTTTGTAATGCAAACACCAGCATGGGGTAAGACTTCTCAAACCAGACCAATCTTTTTTCAGGTCCATGGAACTGTGAAAAAAAGAGCCTAACTGCTCTGCAAATGCAGTGAAGGCTGTTTAGGGTCATCAACCATGGTTGCCATGGTTGCAGAGTCAGTATGAGAGGAGGACATCTCCATGTTAAGTCACAGAAGATTTTTGTTGAACCTTTCAATTAGGAGAATCTAAAACTGAGACTCACCAGTTATATTTAGAAGTCTAAATGAGTGGCCAAGCTATTAAGAACTACAGATTATGCTGTCTAAATGTGGACTTAAGCCTCAGTCCATGAAGAGGTGTAAATAAACGCCCCCCCTATATTTGCAGAACCTGAGTTGAGTCATCAAGAGGCAGAGGATGCCCTCAGGAGGCCAATCTTCAGGATTGGGAGCGGGAATCAGCTCCAGGTTTCTGAGTAAGACATAAGGATGAAAAGAGAGTGGCTTTTCCAGAACATGTTTTTTATTCTGTTGAGCAAGAATAAGAAATTAACAGATGCCACTCAATACCAATTACCATAAAATCAGACTCAGTTAAATTAAAAGGCCTCTGGATTTTTTTATCACTGTATTATTCCAGGAGAAAAAGGTCCTTTTGGTGTGCAATACTGCTGAACATAGCCACAAGGCATCCATCTCAAAGGGCACAGTCTTGTGCTAATTGCAATGGTAAATGTTAATCAGAAAATATGCCTGTTTAATTACTGACTGTGATTAACACTGCAGGAAACATCTAAAGGATGTATTCAAAAATATCCTCCTTATCCAAAATCAGTAATATATAAATGCCCACCAAAGAGCAAAATAAGAGCCTTTGTACAGCTGGAGCACAGAGGGATGAAATGTATGCACATTTGTAACAGCCTCAGAGAGAGTGTGTGTGTGTACGTGATATCCCTATACCAACAGATTGCTTTCTTCACAAAGTTTTAGCAGTGACTGTGCTGTCCCTGGGACAGAGGGAGTGAACAAGGGTTTTGTACACTGGCACTGCATCTCGCACACATGAAAACTGGAATCTGTTTCTGCAAAAGGATGCGATGCTGTTGGATAAAACCAAACCAAGCCAAAACAACACAAATCATTGCAAGCAATGGAAGACGTAACGGAGACATGTACAAAAGCTTGTGGAGGATGTAATATCAGATTAGTAGTACAGATCCTGCTGAAGAGACCTACTCAAACAAAGAAGATGGTATCTCAGGCTCTGTGTTGGGACTTGGCATTGAAAAGAACATGGGAAGAAAGGAAAAATTGTGTTTGAGAGGAATTCATGTCTTCCCAGCGCTCTCTGCTTCCCTTTAGACTTTATCAGGAGGGGCACTCCCTCACTTCCTAGCAAAAATGTATCTCTGGAGGGGGAGAAGAGTAAGCACTGAGGGGACTTCATATAAAACACTGTCTTTCATCAGGTGCTGCTGTTGCTTTAAGCACTAGAAGGAAATCCAGAAAACTCTATCCCAAAGTATCAGCTTTGCCTTCCAGTTGTTCTTCATCAGCCTGTTTGGGGACACATCTTCTCCCCCAGCAGAGGAGGTGTGGGGCACCCTCCCTCCACTCCACACCCATCAGCCCTGCACCTTAGCCCCACACGCTTATGGGGAGTTTACCAGCTCATACAGGAGAGAAGGTAAGACTGAGGGCCAATAGCAGAGACAGTGCCTGGGTCCACCCGGTGCCACGCACTCCTGAAATGTGCACCCGGGGAAGCCTGGAAGCGAGGCAGGGAGAGCAAGTGCTCCCACTGGTGGCTGCGGGCGGCAATTCTTATTTGTCGTATAAACCCCACCACGACTTATGTTTCCCTGAGAAATCAAAGTGTTAAGCGGTTTTTTTCCTTTCTATATGTAGGAATGGCTAAATCTCTGGACTTATCACAGAGACCCAGCATGCACAGCCCCCCAGCTCCACGTGGCAGAGCCTTGCAGTGACAAGCTCTGCCCATGCCGAGCTCTGTCACCTGCAACAGGGCTGGCCCCAGCAGGCAGCCCCACGCCACACACTCCCCTGCTAGGGTAGACCCAATTCCCCTGGCAGTCCTGGTGGGACAGGCACTGACATCAGGGACCAGGAGATACTCCTGTGCTGCTGGTGGCTAAGTTTATCTTGCTGATGAGCACAAGTGATTTCTGCAGACAACTTTTACCTTCCAGCAGGCTCTGAGCTGTACACAAGAACAATCATATGAGTGTGGTTCATAAGGAGTAACACTGGAATAAGAGGAGATGGAGAAAACAGAGGAAGATTGTAACAGGGAAAGGAGCAGTGGGAGCATTGTGACCAAACAAAGAGATGGCCAGCTGCTGTCTGTAGGATCATTGCATCTTTGCCCAGTATGTGTGTGGTCCAGAGACTGTCAGGCTAATGATGTGTTTCTCATCTACTTTAAAACCCATTTCCTCCCTGCTGGTACCTACTCAAAGGCATGGCAAGGCGGTTACAATAAATAAGAATCATGCAAGCATGCGCTGCACACCATAAATCGCTGCTCGTTCTTTGGCTGACGTAAAAGTTGGACTAAAAGGAAACTCTCAACCTACATGTTTGGCTATCTTTTATAGTCTTCTTTTTAAATCTGCTAATAATGCTTCAATTATTAAACTCACATCCAAAATTCTGCATACTTTAAAGCATTTCTATAAAGTTTTTTTTTTTAAATTTTTCATATGTCACTTATGTTGACTTGCACAACTGCCCTGATTTATTTCATTCTGGCCCCAGCTACTTTCCACTCACTTTTTGTAAGGAAAATTATTTTTTTCTTCTCCTGAATGAAAAAAAAAAAAAACAAAAATGTAGCAGTTAGGATTTACCTTTACTCTCAGGAGTCTATAGTCCTTAATTTACATCTCTCTCTAACAATCAGATACAAGAAATTCATCTTCCAATCACATTATGCTCCTACCTTTGTACCTTCACAATATTTCTGATCAAAATGTCTTTTACATTTGTGGCTTTAGAATCCAGATTCACTACAAGGTTCTAGAAACACTCTACAAAACAGAGCTAGCAAGAAAGTCTTAGAAAAGGAGAAAGCAATGTCTGACCTTTGGTGCCTCTCAAGGACTATCTCACATGAGGATTTTTCTAAAACATTTGCTTACCTCTTCTGTGATATCGATCTTCAGAACTGCTGTGGTACTGAAGGATGGGGAGCCTCGGTCTTTGGCCTGTACCACCAATGACCATATGCAGTCTTTGTTTTTTGTGATGTTGTGGATGATGTCCAGGGAACGGATATAGGATTTCAGCTTGATTTCCCCAGTGCTTTGGTCTATATCAAACACGTTGGCTGGGTCTGCTTGCATGATGGAGTAATCCACGATGTTGTTGGGTTCTTCTGCATCTTGATCTATAGCCTGGTAGGGGAAGTGTAAAAAATAAAGGTGTTATTGTTATTGTTTGTATCTTTGCCTGAGGACAAAAAGTTTCTGAGCATTTACTTCTGATAATATCGGTGCCACGACTGGACCGGCTTTATTTTATCTTGGAAGCTACATTTTCTAGTGAAAAACAGCAGGACTAAAGTACTTTTTGTATAAGTGATTTCTATTTGAGATTAAATAAAATCAGTGAAAAAATTGAACCATAACCTATCTGTAGAATGCAAATGGTCCACTGCTGGGGAACTTCTTACACAGTGTGTGGGACAAATGTGAAGTGATAGAGAACAATAGGATTAGCTCCATGCCATAAACTATAGCTGCCTTAATTTTCGTGCTGTGGTATTTATTCTACTAACATTATATGTCATGCAATCAGGCTTCACGATAAGCATTCAAATATGTGTAACATAGGATGTTCTGCTCCTTTGCCTGTGAATTGTTATTGCGTTTTTTCACCTTCTGTTCCACACTGGATCAATGAATACAGTTCTACAAAGCAAAGGGAAATAAGTCGTGTGGTTGAGCACAAAGGATGTCAGGAAGGTTAAGTATTCAGAACCCTGTACTTTCATTCACTTATCTTACTTGGACTTCTTATGATCACTATATAATCCTCCACCAGCTGATGGTTCAAATACTGTAACAGAATTTTATATTTTGCCTATAGAATTTATTTCTCCTTCTCAGCAGCCTGTTAATACTGTAATTCACACTCTAATCCATTTGTTACATCCAAATGGATGTGCAAAATAAAGCTGCAGGAAAAGCCAACTTTCAGACATTCATCGTGACCCCTCAGAATAAACAGCAGAGCCGGGGCTTTTCCAAAGAACTCTGCTTGGTGACACACCATGCTGTCCCTCACCTCTATCTTCACCGGTGACCCAATGATCATTGTCTTCTCCTGGATGTTTTCATTGAACTCTGGAGAGTGGTCATTGACATCTAGCACAGTGATAAACACTTCAGCCAAGCTGTATTTTCCATCTGTGTCCTCTGCTTTCACATAGAAATTATACTTTGAGTTCACTTCAGCATCTAACACAGCCCAGGGCTGGGTATAAATTATGCCTGTTGATGGGTGGATTAGGAACCTGGAAAAGAAACATGAAAAGACTTTGGGGTTTTTTGGTCACTTAATGCATGCTTAGAGCCCAACTTTGCCTCAGGTTGTAAACACTGAAATGCTATGCCCAGAGACTGGTTCTCTTCACCTAACTCCTGTCTGGCTGATGTTTCCAAATTCTTTACTCTACCTATTTTTTGTCTAGTTGCTTTAGGTTTGAAAATCAGGGAACTATCAGTGTCTCATGTTTTTCTATCTGTTATGCATTAGCCATTTTAGCTGCATTTTTTATTAAAAGTCTTTGTCCTCAGTAAATGCTCGTTGTGATGGCCTTCTTCCAGACTGATTTCCTTGCATTAAAACATTAGGCCTACTTTTACTTTTTTATTTTTTCAGTTTAAAAGTACAATGTATTAGATCATGTCCTACATAAATTAAGATTGATTTATATCACCTGGATAGCTGAGGGAAGTGTGCTGCATATCATAGTTAAGCTCTTCTCAGAATGGGTGAGAAAAATGTCTGCTCTCAAATCTCCCAAACTGCAGGGCAAATTATCTTCTCCAGAAATAATCACTTTTCCATAGACTAGCACTGGGATGGAGTGGGTGGTCAGATTTATCTGTTTCAAGTTCAATTCTACATATTTGTAATTACTGAGACACTGTCAAAAGCGTCAGCCCAAAGCTTGGATTTATAGAGAAGATACCAGTGCAGTACCTTTTTATAATGGACTGACAATGTAGACTCCAAGCAGTAGAGCTTTTAACAGATGAAAGGTTTTATATACCCTTTGATTATTGTACAGGATAACAAAATATTTTCTGTATTCTGACTGTGAATCCAATTGAAAGTGATTATAAAATTACTTAGTAATCCAGAATCTTCAGTTGTTCTCATTACCCTGTTAAATACAATCACAAATTTTGATGAGAGCCAAGATCTGGAGGTGGAAATAGCTGTGCAAACTCTTGGTAGAGACAGTGCCTATGCTAAGTGCCTCCAATCTAGTCTAACCACACAGAGAGGATGCTCATCACTCTCATTTTAGTGGAAAAATAGAAACACTCCCACTGGCAGCTGGGATTACCAAGGTAAGATTATCAGCATAATGGTTTTATCTTCAACAGTTAACACTATTTATCTTACTCCAGTACAATTCATCTTTCTGCCTATGCAACTGCACAGCCACTGATGTAACTCCCAAGACATAAAACATCATGGCTCTAATTGAAATTCTCAAATCTGCATCAAATTGTGTACTCAGCAGATCTAGAGGTGCTAGAACTAGAAAATCAATCTAGCCTTGCAGAGCTATGCCATTCTGTCACAAGAAAATTAATAAAAAAATACTTAAGAAGGAAAAGAAAAGCCTTCACATTATGATTTCCTCATTGAACAGCATAAGAACAGTGAGTCTGAGCATCCCCATAATGCCAATCAAAATAAAGTTGCACTTATATTTTTTTTTTCCTAAATCCTTTGTCAACAACTTTCACAAGCTTCTTTGCACCAGCTGCTACATTCTAAACCTAAGAGGTCTGCCTGCATGACATGACCTTTACTTGCTTGTCTCTATGCAGTTAGCAGCTAGCTTAAAGACTTAGTGAAGAGCTCAAAATAATCCATCTTGGAAATGCTCCTGTATGTGTATCCTTCTGGCTACAGAAGAGGCTCACCCTTAACATCTTGGATTTTGGACTTTGATTGTGCCTCCTAAATGGCTTTCACCTTTACAAGAAGAGTTCAGCTTTAGCTCCAGGTGGATAACGTGCAGAGAAAAACGAATTCTGGGGATGAGTGCCTGAAAAGCTTATTCATTTCCAGTGTTCTGCCCTGCAGCCCCACCACGTCCAGGAGCTGCAGATTCCAGCAGCAATATCTGTGACAGCCATGGCACTGATGCCAGCCATGTCCAGGAGCCCCAGCCAATGGGCCAAATGCTGGGATGGACAGTGCTGGGATGGACACAGTGACAGAAATGTTCCACTCCTAGAACTGTCCCCAAAGACAGTGAGAGAGAGGCAGGCATCATTACGAAATCAAGTAAGCATCAGATTTCTTTCTTCCCTGATGCAGGACTATCAGGTTTAAGTATATAAAATGCTTCTAACATCCAATGCAGTTGACCTCCAAAGCTGAAGTTTATATTCTTGAATGTCTTGTCTTCTTTGATTTATTTTGACAAGAGTCGAAACTGAACTATTTGTACAGCCATATGGACAAGGAAGAGAAAAGAACAAGGGATTTTTTTTTTTCCAGAACTGACTTTTCACAATTAGGCCAAAACCTCCTCTTTCTCTTACAAGCATTTTTCAAATGGTGATTGAACAAATCCTGTATATAGATACTTCAGCTGCCTTATGTCTCTTTGGGGGTTTGTGGATAAAATTCCTTGGGTTCATGAAGCATATGTTTAATGATCACATTAGTTCTTCTGTTGTTGTTTTCAGAGAACTCACAAAGAACATGGCGTAAACGTCCTTGGAAATAAGCAGGTCTAGAATGAGCATGTTAACTTTTTTTTTTTTTTAAATTCCTTAAAAACTCTTCTTAGAGGTTATGTATTTTCATTTATTTACTTATTACTTACAGATCTGCTCCTGTTCCATAGATAGAGTACTTGATTTCTCCCCAGAGCCCTGAATCTGGATCTGTAGCCTTAAGAAAAGGAAAACAGAAAGTCATCCTTTACTAAAATGCAAACCCAAACGTTTCATTTCTCTTTTAATAAAAGGCCATGAAAAACCCAAATGCTTTTCACTCCTTTTGTTATCACGGCTTTAGCAGGAAATCGCATGAGCAAATATGCACTAGGAAAGTGCACAATCTAACACCAGGAAACGTCACTGCCAGTCCCAGGAATGCTGTTCAGATGCCGCCTGTCCCTGGTGCCCGGGGGCTCCGGCTGGGAGACCGACACTAGATGGCCCCATCCATCCATCCATCCATCCACAGTTACCTCACCCTCCTTTGATAGAGATGGAGATAATCTCAATGATGTGAACACACTGCCCGCTCTCAAGCCTTCCTAATTATCAGTTAAACATTAATGAATATTCCCTAGGCAAAATTATTTACTTTATATAGACTATTTTTAAGCTTCTGCTTGTTTAATTGATTCGATTTAAAGTAATGCATACCAAATGTTTCAATCTATACACAATATTTCAGCTTTGTTTATATTTTAATCACTCTTGTGCCTGTGTGACTTTAGTAATGCAAATACTATGCCAGATAATATCTTTGTTTCATACTCTTGTTGGCTTCCTCTCTTACCTCAGGATTAGGAAAGCTATTGATTTGGTAGCAGCTATTTCCATAAGCTCTTGCTTCTCTGATAGCTCTGAGGAGGTGTTATATTATACTGTTGTACCTGCCCATCAAAATTCATGGGGGTAGTGGCTGATTCACTCATCTTCCTGTTTAAATATTTGAAAACTGGAACAATGTCTTTGATTCCTGCATGGTTAACACAACACACCTGCATCCCTACTGATAGAGGTTGTTTTGTTCTTTGGCATGAGCTTGTCAGATTCTCTCACCTCACAATTTTGACTGCAGCCTACTTTAGTACTGTCTAACTTTTCCTAAAACATTTGCACACCTGGGGCTTCTTCCAGAACTGGCATTCTGCGTACCTGGAGCATCTTAGTTTTTCAAGTATATTTGTGAATCTGGGTCAGGTTGACAGCACATGACTAAATTTTACACAGACTCCTCAGTTACATTACACTGTGAATTTTGGCTCAGAATGGTTAGTTTTGTTGCTTCTGCAAACATTTTTTAAATTTCTTTTTTTTTTTTGCTGTCCACCTCCTAGAATTTTTTATTCCTCTTTTCTCTAAGATAGTGATGTTTAGGAGTCTGTTTTCTAAAGCTTTCTATTAGTTTCCTCTAATAATCTTTTCTGCATTGTTTATTTCATTTGCCTTCAGCATTTCATTATTCTGATTATTTAATTTTCCTTCTTACTTGTAGCCAGCCTGTGCTAGAGATCTCTGGCAACCTGCCTCCACCATCCTTACCCCTGAGACCTCTGCAAGGTAACTTGCATCACCCACTGAGCCCCAAGTGGCCAGCAGCTTTCTTGGCCGTGTGACATGAGATCTGTTTGCAGTCCCAGCAGCTGCATTAAAGAGATACAGCTCACACTGACAGCTGGAAATGTTCCTCCACTACACAGGGCCCATGTAACACCCTGACTTTCTTTCTGTGAAAATGTGAGAAACTGGAAAATCTATAGGCATGGTTTTCCCATTGTGAGAAGATACTTACATAGGGATATGTTCTTCCCAGCCCTAAACATTTTAATGTTATGTTCCTGCCTTCATTAACTGTTTAATTAGGTATTTAGCAGCCAGATTCCTCCCAGGAGGAGGAGACTAATACCTACTAAGCAGCCATGTTGTTTTCTTTTTACTCCTACTTAAGCAAGCAAATCCAGTAAATCCAATTCTGCTTAGCCATAACTGAATCTTCCCACTGGACACTGATTTGACTGGGGCTTTCTTAATACTCAGAAGCCATGTGATTTGTCTTAAAAGCAGATGGCCTTTAGTTAAAAACCAAAGTAAATTTGTTGTGTTTGCCTAAAACCTTTTTTCCAGAAGTGGGGTTTTTTTTTGCATGTATGTGGATTTTGCTTGTTTGTTTGTTTGTTTTTTGTTGTGTGTGGATTCTAGAAAGGAATTGGAGTTCAGTCTGGAAGCTGAATGGTGAGTAGGTTTTGCTACTTGCCTCTGTCCACTATTTTTAAGGTATTTGAACAGTGTTCACAGAAACCCAGAAAAGAAAGTATTTCTTAAGAGGTGAATGAAACTTACTGTAACAGCAACCACATTTGAGCCCCCTGGAGAGTTCTCGGGGATCCTGGCAATGTAGTAGTCAGAGGAGAACTTAGGGACATTGTCGTTGGTGTCCAGCAAGCGAATCACTATGTCAGCCGTGGAGCTGAATTTCTCCGGTGTGTTCACCTCTATCGCAAGAAGCTGAGGAGAGAAAAACCAGAAAGTCACTACAAAGCAGCTGTTGCTTTTTCCTTAAGGAGCTTCCTCTGCCACCCATGGCTCATTGGTGGCTTTTAGCCTGGCTAGACCAGACAGCTCAAACCCAGGGAGATGATGAGCTAGGTCAGCATATGACCTAGGCATAATATTTGGTTTCCATGACTGGGCAGAGACCTAGTTAACACAAAGCAGGTGGGCTCTAGGAGCCTGCTGGGGACAGCACACCAGTAACAGACCAGTGAGCAGGATAATAACTGAGATATGACAGGCTCAGCTGAAAAACCTGGCTGCATGGGTTTTAATGGCCAGGCTCTCAGCCTCTCTCTCACCATGGCACAGCTCCATGTGATGCTCAACAGCAGTGGCACTGCTGATTGTCCTGGGGGTACACACTGCGCTCCAGTCCCTGCTCTGCTAGACTTGGATGCCTCTGTATCACCTCAAGGTGACAGGGAGGTTGGGGAGCAGTCTAAGTAGACAGGGAAAAGGCTATCTCAGTATCATCTCCTAGGGCTGTTCCTGCTGTGTGAACATTTATAGTGGTTAGAAATAAAGTGTGAAAGGGTACTTGAAGAAATTAATCTCGAAGGATTGCTTGCGATTACTGCAGCACACATCTGCTCTCAAAGGAGAGCCTGGTCACTGCATCTCTGTGCTAACTTTTGTGTTTGGGAGTCTCAGGTGGTGCTACAGCAAAAGAAATCTTTGAAGGGACAGTTATACACACATCAACAAAAATGTCCTCATGAGGAATCTCAGCTCCTAAAGAAGGACAGAGATAAAATCTTAGTGCTTATTGTGTACGTGGAGCTATATCTAAATTATAATATATGCAGTGAAATAACCTTTGCTGCTGGAATCAGTCCATCTTAGAATACCTTATGAGAGCTTAGTATTTTTACTTTGTTTTCTACACTCATTTTTATTTCCTCTCCTTTTAGCAGCCACAGTCCAGCTATGCAAACATGCTGACAGCATCTTCCTTTGGGGAGGAATTTTTGTCAGCTTACTTGCCTGCAGTGTCTTATGCAGACCTGTATTGTTTGTTTTATGCAGAGAGAAAAAAATTAACATAGAACTATTACTTTGCAGGAATACATACCAACTTTTAACACGAGAGCAAACTGACATGCAGTCTTAAAAGTGGCAGGTAAAATTTTAAATAGAGTTTGATTTGGCCATTGGGGATAATGGCAGCCTCATCTGGTCCCTCTCTGCAGGAGATGTGAGTGTCTGCAGAACATCCAGGCTCCTGCCAAGGCATGGTGTACTCTAAGCTGAAGGAGGTGGAGGCAGGAGGTCTGGCCCTAAAAGCATGTCAGCCCATGACAAGATGGGACAGCAATATCTGATGCCTGTGACAGAAAAACTTGAGATCTAAGAGGCCAGGCTGGAAGCATATGAATTACCATAGCTGCCATGCCTTGGGAAACCCACTTAAGCTCTTAGATAGCTGAAAATGAAGGAAGTCCTGACTACCAACTCCATTTAAGAGCCAGCCCTAAATGGAAGATAGATTTCTCTAGTAGCCTTTGCGTCAGGAAGTTTTTCAGTGCATCCCCCAGTCAAATTAGCTTTGATTCCTCTCTGGCATTTTACTCTTCAAAAACAAACCAGAGGAGAGGGATCATTGCTTACAGAAAAAAAAAAGCCTGAAAATAACTCCTCAAAGCTGCTGTAAGATACACATTAAATAGAAATATTAAAATATTTCATCCAAAATTCTAACCAGAATTACTACAATGGCAACTGAAACTGAGTAGGAAGTGATTTGAATTTTTCAGGAAAACGAAGACAGCTATGAGGTCTTTATAAAGTATTTGCTACCATATATTGCTACCATATCATCCAGCTGCACCCTCTTCATTTGGAATCATGCCTTATGATGTCCAGAAGAAATATTTTCTGAAAGTCTTTCTCCAGAAGAAATAATTTCATTTAAAAAAAAAAAAAAAAGTGAACAACTGCTTAAGCAACAAAAAAATATATATCCTTTTTCCTGGTAATTAATTCTTTCGGTATTCATGGCAATCACATTCACTACTTTGATTTCTATTAGTATTCATGAGGAGGCCATGTGTAACTCCTTTGCTAGTCTTTTGGCAGTTTAACCTGAGTAAATGTGCACTTATTATAATTAGTTTTGGTAGCACTTTATGTCCCTTTCAGAATATTTCACTTTAATACAGTAATGATGCCTCATATTTTTGTAGCATCTATAACCTATGCAGCCCAAAATGGCTAAGGAACATTACAAGAGGAGATGTGAAACATACTGCAGTGAAACACAAAGTGAACCATATAGGAGGGGAGAATTCAAATTCAGGAATTTTGCCTTCTGGACTGTGCAAAAAATTTCACTTTCTGTGCATTAAAAAACTAGCATATGTTAATACTCAAGTAGATAGTTTTGGCAATTTTTTTTTAAACCTATTGTCTGTGCAATTCTTTGTGGTTAGAACCAAACCATCTATACCGATGTTCAGAGGCAGCTGACATAAAACCAGACTACTTAGTTATCTTGTTGATGAGCCAGAGAATCCATCAGGGAAGGTGATAATGGAAGGTTCCAGCTTTTGGATGAAAGCTGGTTCTTGCATGGCTGGTTTAGAGCATGGTTGAACCTCAGGTCAGCCTGCAAAAGGCCATAGAGATAGATAGACTCTGACAAAGGCAGTGAGCAATTTTGGGGAATTATCTTCCAGTCAGCTGGAGTCTTCATCCTGCCAACATCCAAAAGCATGATCATGCATCAAATTACTTAGCACTAAGCAGGTAAAGTTCTGGCTCCAGAAAAATCAGGGTTTCATCCTGTGAATTTATTTTTGTGAGAGCAGAAATAACACCTTCAGGGTTCAATCTAGAATGACTCAGAGCCACTAACATGTACAGTTTCCAGAGAGAGATAAAAATCAACACTGTGCACTGACCACACTAAATCAGTCCCCAGATGCATCCATTAAACTTTGGGAAGGTGATGAACCAGAGGTAGAAATGAGTTTCCCTTACATTTAATATCATGTCACTGGCAATGCATCAGACAGCTTCAGACGGATTAAGAAGCTAAATAACCTCAGATACAGAAGCCATCATACACACAATGTATACGCTGACAAAGAGGACCTGAAAAGCACAAGTACCTTGAAGGTTAACACCTTGAAATTTTCAAAGTCAATAGCAGCAGAATTTTCCACTATTATTGTAACCTGAGCCTCATTCAGGACAGTTTGGGGAACCACTCGGAAGATGCCACCAGGTCCAATAAGACGGAGGTTGAATTTAGCATTGGCTCCCTGTGAACAAAAGCAGATACAGCATGGTTTTCAGTGAATGATGCATTTCTTACAACCTAGATTGCTCTGATTCTTCAAACTGTACAAAATGAGAATGGGTCTTACTGCTTAGAGCCCTCTGCTCTCCATCCCTTGGGCAAGAGACTGCTAAGAAGCTTAGTTGTATAATCCTTCCAGCCCTGGTCACAAGACAGACACAGCTTTTCTTAAAATAGATTGACAAGCTTGGTTATTCTTTCAGTCATAATGGAAAAAACCTGCAGCAGGATTGGCTGAGAGAGGGATCTTGTGGCAAGCAGCCCTGGGCTTCGTGCTACGCACTGTGAACTAGTACAGGTGACAGAGATGACACCACATGCACATCAGCAGGCAAGTCCTGCCTCTTCCTGGTTCCTGTTACAGAAAGACAACTGAAGTACTTGAGTAAGGACAATGGAACCCTAAAAAACCTAGTTTTATAGAATGGTTTGGGCTGAAAGGGACCTTATAGTTCACCACATTCCAACCCCCCTGCCACAGGTAGGGACACCTTTCACTAGATCAGGTTTCTCAGAATCCCATGCACCAGGCCCTAAACACTTCCAGCATTTGGTCTGTGTCCTAAGAACTCACAGCCTGGGAGTTTTTAAGGATGATCAAGATGCAGAGTGGCAGAGACATGCAATTTCCAAACAGAGGTGATACACCACATTTTGCGCTGATTGGATTAAGCTAGCCCAGAGTTGCAGACACTAAACCTTCTGCAAGTTGATACACTTGGGGGGTGGAAAGAACCTCCACTTGTGCAGATAAAATCTTACACGCACATTTGACAGCTCCAGGTAAAGTGAGAAGCCAAATCCCGTTATAAACTTTCTAGCTGAGAGAACATGGGAAGCAGCAGTATCCAAAAGGTTACCACCACTTGTGTGCAAGCTGGGGAGAGTGACCCAGAGCCAGATGGCCAGACTAGTTCTCTTAAACCAAACTAGAGCATGGAAGAGAGAAGATGAAATGGGGATTCTCATATTTCTGCCTTACATGGAAGATGGGAAAATGAGCTGAGCCCATCACACCAAACTCTGAGTTCACCAGTTTCTCAAACAATGTCATGTTCACACCGTGACAGACAGATTCACTGTCTGGCTGGTGTCATGTTCTCCCCCTAGCATGAATCTTGAGATGAAAAATTTCTAATAATAACAACTTGCAAACATGACAACTTTACTTTCAGCTGTATCCCTGGAGGGCTTGTTATGAGCAGCTCTGGATGCAGCCCCAGTTCATGTCAAGAGAAAAAACCTTCAGCAGTAGTCCCTTAAGGGAATCAGAATGACCTTGGATCCAAACTCAGTGGTCTGTGTTTGGTCACACAAACCCAGTCCCCAGCTACAGAGATGACAACAGGCTCTCTTTTCTGGACAATAAAGCCAAACACATAAAGCCAGAGCTCCTGGACCACGGAAGATAGTGCTGATGGCAAGAGTGTATAGTCTGACCACACAAAGTCCTCTGCACTTGGGACTGTACATGACTAGAAGAAGGGTGGTGTGGAATGGGAAGAGAACTGTCTCCCTCCAATAGCTGAGTGATTTCTGCTGGTGATGTCCACTGAACCTAGATCTGCTCAGAGCAAGACAATGTCTCCAAGCAGACAGCCATGGGACACAGGAAGGACTGAAGGAACAGCAGCACTGAGCCTTAAGCTCTGTCTGATTAAGAGGTCTGGGGGAGAAATTTCTGCCTGATTTTCTTGCATGTAAACATGGCATTTCCATCTGGCCTATGCCAGACTTTACCCACAGCTTCCTCCTCCTCACCTGTTCCATCCACTCCCCCAAAAAGGAAGAGTCACTAATAGCTGTGACAGAAACAGACAGGTTTAATTTTTTTTCCTCTCTAGATACTCTTATGTGGAAGGGAAAGCATTGCATTCTCTGCCTTAAAAGAAAAGCAACCCAGCCCCTCTAGAGCGATGCCTTACAGTGCACTAGGAAGCTTCTTGAGGAAATCTATACAGTGTATTTATCAATGTTTTCTGCTTATTTTACAGCCTAACTTGCAGCCTGAATATTTTGTCAGCCTAGATATATATTTTGTCTCTAAATAGAAGAGATGGGTTTTGTTTCTTTCCTTCTGCAGCAGCATCCCTTGTGACAATAGCAGGATAGACGTAGCACTGCTTTGAAAGCAGTCATTTATCTGCTTGCTGCAGAGCAGCAGGAGGGAGGGGGAAGAAGCCAGTGGGTTTGATAAAGTACAATACCATCAAACCAGCACAATACTGAGCACAGTTACAGAAGAGAGCCCTTTCCAATAGTAATATATTTCTCAGATGCATTAAGCTTTTTTTCTTGTCACTACCTAACCTCAGGCTAACTCAGATGGATGCCATTCATACAGTATTTAGGGATCCCTATAGCAACCATCACCATAGTATCTACCGGCAACACAGGTCAGTTAGACAGCAGGCTGAGATGGATAAAGTCTTCTTTCCTTTTTCTTTGCCTGGATAGAGTTAGTTTGGCTCTGGCATAATTTTTAAGACTGCCTAAAAATATCAGTCCAGTGGGAAAGATTTATCAAGGCATGCACTGCAGACCCTGACTGTAACATAGGGGCCAGAAGGGCAACATATAGTAATAAAAACAGTGTAAGGGTACAGACTGTACTGTTTCCTGCAGGGGCTGGAGATGATACAAACAGCAATTGTACTTGAAGTCACTAAAGGGATTGGAACCTCTAAGTAAATCGCCAATACGTTGTGGGACATTACACTGGCAACAACTGAATGTAACCAATACTTAGGGGAAGTTCATAAGGACTGCTCAGCTTCAGTTGCCACAAGAACAGGGCTGCAGTTTTAGGACCACCCTTGTCATGGACAGTATATGACAGTCTAACTATACTTCTATGGTATTGGACCCTACAACTACTGTGTCTGTCCTAGGCTTTTGGGGAATGCAGGTGAAATAGCTGAATTCCTAAAATAACATTTCCCCATCTGACAGCTCTTTCTAGTCTTTGAGAAAATAAGACGGAAAAGTGAAAGGCCACATAGCTTCCATTTACCTGATCTGAATCACTGACTGTGATCTTCAGTCCCCTTAAGATTTCACCCTCTGGGGGATGCTCGTACATGGTCAGTTCAAACCTGTTCTGGGGACCATTTTCTCCATAGAACGTTGGTGGGTGGTTGTTGAGGTCGACCACACGTATAGTCACCACGGCAAAAACGTGCTCAGAGATGTCACCTTCCTGACTGACTTCTGATGCCTGCAGCAGGCAGGAGAGAGAAAGGAATGATGAGGGCATTTTCTCTTTCCTCAGATTCATATTCAGGCATTGTTCCCCATGTACACATCACCTTAACACACTATCTTGTACAAAGATTCACAGATTTATATTTCTCTAAAATCTCAGTCCATTTCACACTGAAGTTTATGATGAGTAGAAGATTATGGTAATAAACTAGTCCCAGTAAAGTCCCAGTGGAAAAAAAACCAAACTCCTCCTAGTTTTGTGAGCTTAGTAACTCACCCTAGGTGAAAACAGTTCTCTTAAAACAAATAATCCAATAGAGGCAAGGTAATTGCTTGCCTAAGGTGTTGACAGAATAGAAAAGGAAGACAATGTTTAAGTTTACTATGGTACCACAGGTAGTTAATTGTCACATTCCTGCAAGGACTGAAGCGTTGAATACTTTCAGAAAAACTGTACTTGGGCTATTTAGGTAGATATTTGAAAAAAACAAAATACATTTTTTATATTTACAGTTCTAGATGAGCTTAATTTAAACTGGATATAGTTTAGACAGACAGGTACACCGAGTTGTTTTTCTGAACCAAAATATCAAATTTGTCTGGGTTTCAACAACTCCAACACGCAGCCTGATTCACTGGATTGAGCCTAAGACATTTCTTCTGCCCGGACAGAAACTTTGGCTGGTGTTTTTAAAGCAACAGCTATCTCTAACATGCCTTTTTACTGGGTAATACAACACCCTTTTAGTTCCTCAAGTAGATTTGGTAGCCTGCATGAGCTCTGGGTCACCACATAGCTAATTAGGAGATCAGAAAAGCTTGCAAGGGTTTAACTCATCCTGCATCTGAGAAGCACTGGCAGACTGCAGTGAAGCAGTGTGAAGAGAGGAAGAAATGGTGCCCAAGTTTAACTCAGACCATGAGAACTCTGTAGTCTCCCAGGTACAACACGCTGCTTGAGCCCAGTAGCAAGTAAGTGCCCTTGGGGATGCCTCACTGGTTCTGGCAACGTGCAAAGCCTCAAAGCTGCCATTACATAATATTGTCCTTACCATGACAATAATATACATTTGCTGAAGAAAACTGATTACAATTTGACACATTTTTAAATACTTTGTCTTTAGAAATTAAATAATAATAATAAATAATAATAATATTAAAATAAAAATAATTTATTAAAATAAATTAAAATAATGAAATTAAATAATAATAAATAATAAAATAATGTAGCCTGTCCCAGGGATACCAGCTCATCAAGGTGTCAGCTCACTGAGACATCGGCATGTATTTGTACATGGCTGATCATGCAGGAATGCATGCTGATATGATATTGCATCATCTGTCCCAGTTCTAATAATAATAACAGATTTGACAGTTACCTATCTCATCATACGGAGGTTACAAGACATCAATTCCCAGTTTATCAATAAAATCTGGAAACATGGAGAACAGGTATCCACAGGTGGAAAAGGATGTTGATTTTCTAGACTCAGAGATGAAATTTGGGCAAGATGACTTCATTTGAAAGAAGTAATTTCAGATAGTAAATAGGCCAAGGAACAAAAGCAATTTGTTCTCTTTGATACTACTTGGCATTCTGTTCAAATACAGGAGGTAGTTTCTAAAAGAGGAAAGTCAGCTGTCTTAAAGCAGCCCCAGAACATACCTGAACTTTTAGCTCATACACTTCTTTCTTGAGCTGATTTGGGCTTTTTATCACAGAAATGGCTCCAGTTGTGTTGCTGATTTCAAACGAATCTTCGCTTCCTGCAACAAAACCACGATGCTCTAGTTACATGCTACACTCTCTTTCTCTGAAACAAGCATGAGCAACCAACCATACACTTCATTAAGCATATCTTTGCCACTTTTGAAAAATGAAGCATTTCTATGACTGGTCACAGTGAGATGAAAACACAGATGAGGGTCAAAAAGTGTTTCCTCCCCCAGGAATGGCTCACTGGAGTTCTGTCCCTATGGGCAGCTGTCATCACCTTCTTCTCCCCACCCTGGTCAGGTTCCCTTCAAGCCTCAGCAACCAGGCATGCAAATTTTTTATTTCTTTCTATTATGCTGTCTTTTTTCATATGCTGGTTTAGACAAAAATAGACATTTATCATTGTAATTAGCAAATGCATAATTAAGTCTCTGAGAAACAAGAACATTTCTCTCACTAATATCAACTAAGGTGAGAAGTCTGACAATCTGTCTCAAAGAAACATAGTCACTCTTTCTGCAGACAGCATCTCTGGAGAAGCATCTTCTGGTCTTAAACATTCAGTTGTTAAAAATACCTCTCAACCTGCTGCAAGGCTGTCCTGAACAAAAAGGGTTTTTTGGAGTATCTGGGGTAAACCCCAGGGTTTCTGCATTGAGGCAGAGAGTCTGACAGGCAGGACAGGGCTGCAGGCTGACTTTGCTACCACCACCCAATTTCCATCGATCTGAAGGGCAGATCCGTCACCGGCCAGAGTCCCTTGAGACCTGGTAAATTTGTGCTGAAGCAAATGCCAGCTCGAATAGAGGCATCAGTGATTCATCATGATGTCAGGACCCATCCTGCCATCACAGCCAAAAGCAGGCTGGTGCCCAGGAAGGGGACCAGCTGGCAGTTCAGGGTGCCCTGCCCTGCTCTGCTGAGGGGCTGTGGCCATCCCTGCACACTACCTCATGTACAGTACTGACCACAACAAAGTGTTGTGGCAGAGTCTACCATTGAAAGGAAAAGAGAGGAAATCCCTTCAAAGGAAGGAGATCAAGACTTCAGAAATAAAAGCTTATGACCTGAAGGCCCAGCCATTTTTCTTTGTCTCAGTCTTAATTCCAGTGCTGATTTTTAAACCATCCGATAGTATCCTGTTTTTGCTAATACCTGCAATAACTGTAACTTCATTAAAGCACACTAGATACAACATTGAACAGATATTGACTCATACAGTGGCCAATTATTAAGATACATTGGACTGGAAAGCATATTCTGACTGAGAAGAAGCTTAAGTCAATAGTGGTTTCAAGCCACCATATTTCATGTTATTATCTAGTTATCTCAGGGAAATTGGTAACTTGGAGTATGTAGCAGTATGTGTGTTCCTTTGTACAGCATGTTCAGAGGAAAGGAGCATTTTCTATTATTATCCCACACTCCCTGGATATGAAATGCTTATTAAGAACAAATAATTTCCTATTTGCAGTTAGTATTTTCTTGCCCTTTGACAACCCAGCCTGCAGGTATTGGAATAATGGCTTGTAACAAATAATGCCAATGTCTGAGATGCAGGGGTAGAAACCTGTTGAGATCTTTTGTTCTCTGCTTCTTCAGCTTTCTATGCACTAAAGCCATATTCCCTTCCCCTCTTTTTCATTTTGCACAAACAAAATCCTCCATTAATGTACACAAGGAAAGCCTGCTCTTCATATTTTCTGTACTTATCTGTCATCCCCTTCCATCTTCATTTTCCACTCTTTCCTGAATACTTACCTTTTTTTTATCCCAGAGAACCCTTCTGATCCTTTTCTATTTTCTTTGGAAATCCAATATCTCTTCACAACAATCTTATTTCCTTTTGACTTATTCCTGGTTTTAACACCCTCACTTATTCTCCTTCATTAATTTCCTTCTTGTTTATCATATTTTCATCCTACTTGTTCATCTTTACTGCTCATTCTACATCTTTTTTTTCACCTTTTCTCCTTTTCCACTTATTGTCTTCTGCAACCTCTTCTTCCTCAGTGTTTCTACTTTCCTTTATCCTATCTATTCCCTTGCATTAAGAAGAAACCTCAGCATGGGTCCCATCTCACAGTGACACAAAAATTTGGTCACAGCCCTCTCTGTTCTCTCTGGACCTGGCTGTTTATATCACATAACACAATGAAGCTCTTACTCCATAGCTCTGCAACTACACCTCAGATTTCTCTTACGAAGTTCTGGGATCTCTCACACTTGGGAACTGGGGTGCACAGTTGCTAGATGGAAGTCTTGTTTTGGAGGAAGAGAGAACAAACAAAACTAAAGTTGTAGCCTGGAGTTTAGTTGAGCTAAGTTGTTGACTTCACCCCCTAATGAATCATGAATTCAGCCAAGTTTCACATTTATGCTATTAAAAGATGTGCGGCAGACACTTTCAGAATAGCTGATGGAAAGCATTAATCTTCTGATAACACTGCTTTCTTCCACTGCAGCGTACGCCAGTGTCGCTTCACCAGTAAATATAATTTCTCCCAAGAAATCAGAGGTTTGACTGTTTAGCCACTTCAATCACAGTATTAATAAAAATATGCCTCTAAATTCCATGTCTGGGTCTCCCAATAAGGTCTCACTCCTCCCAGATTAAATGACAGAGATGCTCAGTAGCAGTGAATGCATCTCCCTTTATGCTTTCTGAAATGACAAGCAGGTTACTGATGCCTAACAAATCAGCAACATTAACAGCTCCAAGCACAGTTCTGTGAAGCAGATAGTAAAAGTCACTGAGTTGTATCTTAGCTATTCTCTGGTAGACAGGGCCCTGGAGTTGTTTGAGGTACCTGACATTATTTCATGAGATTTTGTCTCAGTTTTATTAAGTTTTAGCGTATCCTATTCTAATTTAATGTCAGATCTACTTCTGAGCGCCCTTCAAATTTCATACATGACAAGTCTACTCACCGTTCACGATGCAGTAATGAATACTGTTAGGCTTTCCTCTGTCTCCATCAAGAGCAACAACAGTAAGGACCTCAGAGCCCTGGGGAGAAATGTGAAATCACAGTCTGTGTGCTGAGAACAGAGTAATGAAATTGCAATTGCATAATAATAAAATGAACTTCTGTAAGTGTTTCTGCAGTGAGGTGCTGGGGGCAGAGTGGGTGCTTGTCCTGTATGGGGAGTGCAAAAAGGGCCATTGACTCCCACCCAAGTGCTTGGCTTTGCAGAATGCTGCTTCTTGGACTAACTCTGCATTGTTCCTACATCAACAGTTCAAGTTGTTTCCGGTGACTGCTCCAGCTGTGAAACAGCTGCAGACCCCATGTGGCCACAGGGCTGGCCGGTCTCAGGAGCAGTTGGAAGCCACGGCCAGAGGGACACCTGACTTGAGCCACAGACTTGGACAGGGGATTTGGAGTAACCCATCTGAAACCCAAAGTTTAGTTTGGGTCACTGCCAAGATTCCCGCTGGTCCCTAATGTGTAGGGTCCTGCATCCCACAAGGTACACAGTGTGCTGAAATACGGGCAGCTGCCAAGGAGTCATCAAGTCACTTTGGTCCTACTTAATTAAGCTCAGACAGGCAGCAAAAGCAAACAGAGATCACAAAGCAACTTGGCCCACAGAGCATTTAGGGCATAAAATTGTGATGAAAATGATGGCAATTTAACTGCCCTTAAACCTTCACTGTCGTTCTCTCTGCGCAAGTAATGTGGCGATGGGCCATACATACAGAACTTGTGTACTGGGGACTGCTCATATGACTGTTCCTATCAGCTCAGAGTGATGATTGTTACATTAAAACGCTCACCCAACTGGCAATGAGCTGTGCAATTCAGGCCTGTGAACTAAAGTGTTACTGTTTGGGGCTGCAAAAACAGGGAACATTGAGGTAACTGTCAGTTAATCACAAATGGCAACAAGGAACATTTTCATGACGACCCCTGAGTGAATTTTTCAAACTAGAGCAAGGTTTTGTTAGAGCAACTGGAAATACAGAACTGTATTTATTATCATTTATGCTGGAAGCAGCAATAAAATCTGCCTACTGGGCAAAATACAGTGCAGTTCCTTTGAAGGTGACAGAGTACTTGTAAATCCTGACTACTCCACCAAGGAGAAAAGAAACAAGTTTACAAAATTAACACCAAATGTGCAAACAACACTAAAATCAGCTATTGCCCTTCCCTCTGTGGAGTTCATTCTAATAGCAAAACCCACACTGGGAAGGACTGATTCGTGCTTCCATCATTATATCATAATGGTGTAAGTTATGAGCTCAAGCTGGATGTAATTAACATTTATCGACTCCCATTTCCATAGTAAACACTAACTCCTGTGTGCACCTGATAGTTATTTCAAGATCTATATGTAACTATGCAGAATAAATCGATATACATAATATCATTGATTCTAAACACCTGCAAAGCACACAAGCATTACTTCTCTGCCCTGCTGAAATGTAACAGCCTCTGCAGTGAACTGCAGTATACAGTCATGCAAGGGCTGCAGTGTATATTGGAGTTGAGAACAGAAAGTAAGGACATGATTGTTCCTGAAACTCAAGGGAAGATCAGCTGAACAGTGTGCAATCACACTGCCAGACAGATCAATAGCCTAATGTTGGGTAATTTCACGCGTAGATACTGTTTATTGTCCTATGTATGAAGAAAATTTTAATTAAATTTATGTATCAGGGCAAAAGCTGATCCATACACAGTATCATGTCACTGCTTAGATATAGAGAAAACTCATTAGTTTGCAGCTTCGAGCACAACAATTGGGGACTTTTAAGCCACATGTAACTAGTTCCTCTAAGTACGTCCTTGCTTGATTGATAATCTGGTGGCTTTTAGGTTTGTGAGGACTTCCTGGCCCATTCTGCCTCGCCAACCATTACTGATCAGAAAGCATCCCCCATTTTGGAGGTGTCAGGGTTGCTTCTACCCAGGTGATGCCCACGGGACAACACAGGGAGTTTGGAGCATTTGGCCATACATTCTCCCCACATCTTACACAACCAACTGTGGGTAGCACAGTGATCACAGACAGAAAATATAAGCACTGTGAGACCACGCAGCACACAAACACACAAAGGCTTCTAGCATGGTGTCTTCAGGTGAGGTAACTGGCAGCCTCTTTAAGCCTTCAGCCAAGTGCATCTGGAGGTCTGGGCTATGGAAGAGCTCTTAGTCACTGACTTGGCTTAGACCAGCATAAATGGGCAGAATCCTTTCTGACTTTAGTGACAGCAGAAGGAAGCCTTGCATGGCAAATTTACAGTAGAAGTAAATAAGAACAAGTCTGAGATTTGGTCAGCTCATTTCCCTAGGAGTCAAATCAGAGTTAAATTCCCATATCCAACAAAACCTGTGCTAGAAACCATAGGGCCATCCTGACTGAGTTGGGAAAGGCTACACTTGTTCTCCCACAGATAAAAACCAGCACTTACTGCAAGTGTATCCTCATAGACATATCCGTAGTAGGGAGTCCCGATGAACATGGGAGGAGTGTCCTGAACATCCTCCACATTGATAGTAACTGTAGTTGTGGCTGAAAACACTTTGTTGTCTCCCCTGAGCTTCCCACCACCATCCTAGAAGAGAAGTCATCATCAGATGCCTCTACTGAAACATGTCTGCAAATCAGCTTAGGGCATGGCATGGACCTCATGAGCCTTCAGAAGCACAGTTCCAGGAATCTTTCAACACACCAATTAATCTGTGCTGCCCTATTCCCCTCTATCTGTCCTGCTCCCTCTCTGATTAGGAGGACAGTTTGCAGTGTCTCATAAGTAATTTATTATATTAAAAGTGGGCCAAAATACACAGTCATTCATGATATTTTATTAACAAAACAGGGGACAGGGAATTCAAATTTTTTGGTGGGAAAAAAAGAATGCTAGAAACCGGTGCTAAAAGTTAGTGATTAAGGTCTACAGCTTTTCATCCCATATATTGTCTTGTCATAAACACAGGACAGTGTACAGGAGCAAGGTAGTGGGGAAATAAACAGTGCACATGCTCAAAGTCTCTTAGGGATTCTTATGTGATAAAGTGAAAGAACAGAGGAGCTGTGCAGCCAAGAACTGTGAGACAGCCACAGTGTATAAACAGTCTCTGGGGGTTTGACTACAACCAGCTCTGCATGGCTGATACAGCAGAGCCAATTAGGAAGATGACTCGCAATTTCAGAAGTTTGTAACACCCTCAGTCTCAGAGCACCAGCTGGAGGTCAGTAGTTATGCTGGTGTGTAAGAGTGAGAATTGTTCAACATGTCTGCAGTACCAATTCTAAAAATTCCATTTTTTTGAAAAGATACGCTCATTTTTTCCTTCTTCCTGCCCCAAAGGCAGCATTTAAGACAAATTTTGTTAGTTCTCCTCAAACAAACCTTGGCTAAATAAATACATAAAAAGGTTCATGCATTTTTCATAAAATATGAGAAACTTGTAAGTAACAGCAAAATTGTCCTCTTTCAACCCATGTGAGTCTGTCTGTGTGACAGGTCCCCACTGGATCCTGAAAGACTTTACTTCAGAATCTATAAACTTTTAATGCCTGTTATGAATCCTCTTTCACAGGCACAGCACTGCTGTGAATGACAGTGGCAAGGGGGAATGTGCAGCAGTAGTTGCAGGATTTGAGTAAGCTGCTGCCATGAGGTAAAAGAGAAGGAAAAGAAAGAAACGCCCATAGATACTTCCAGAAAAGAAGTCCATCGTTTGTGCTGTGCTGGGTCCAGCTGTGCCCTGTGTCTTACTGTAGGTAATGACTGTGACCTGCATGGTCTGCCTGCTGGGGTTTGTCCTTGTGGTGGTAGGGCCGTGCCCTGGGAGCACAAGGGAGCCCTGATCACTTGCCTGCACTCAAAGTCTGCTGCTTCTTGAAACCAGGGCTGCTCACACCAACCCTTCACTTCTAGGTGACTCTCAAAACACAGATGCCATGAATGAAATGTGGGAAACCCATCCCCAAATCCTCCAGACATTGTTCAGCAGCAGACACCAGTTACCGTTCGTCCCTCACTTTTCCATGTTACTCACCACACCTCCAGGTGTTACAGAGGGAGTAACTCTGCTGCCTCAGTGTACAACACTTGTATTTGTACTGAAACACAACACCCCACACTCCTCTAGCTTCAGACAAAAGCCTTATACCTTGGCTACGACGACAACAAAATGCGTTCTTGATTTCTCATAGTCCAGGGTGACCCCTGTTTTGATGCGCAGCACTCCACTGTGACGGTCTATTGTAAACTTATTAGCATGAATGTTCTAGAAGAAAAGAAAAGAAGAAACAGCAAGAGATTACAGGTATGGAAATAAGATTGCTGTAGGGATTAATCTTTTATTTCATCTGCTAAGGTAGAAGACTAGAATAATGATACGGGTTTGGGTGAATAATGTATTTGATGAATTTCACCTCTGTGTGTTTATGAACAATTCATGAACCGACCATGAGTCTGTCATTATTCAGAATAAATCAGTTACCTCAAATGTAGATATTTTTAATCTTTTAGTATTTCACTGTGAAATTTTAAACTTTGGTTAACACAGTTCATTGCATTGAGAGAGGTAAAAAAAGATGGGGGAAAAGGAAAAAGAATAAAAGATGTTACCCCTTAGTGTTTCAAAGTTCTACAATCTTAAAAGTAAAGCAGAAGGGTTGAATGTATAGATTATTGTCAATACAGTGGTGGTTTGGTGTTTTTTTACGATATACAAGCAAAGTCTAAAAGACATCTGATATTCAGAGAGGCCTGAAAAATGCATCCCTCCTTTCTTCTGAATGGCAGATATCCATACAAACACCTCTGTTTGGTATCCATACCCAGTGGCCACTGTCAGATAACCTTTGCCGTTCCAGTAGACATCACCACCTGTCCACATCAGACTTGGGGAGAGGTTTTTTCTGTACAACTTGAGAACTCTCAGAGACTGTGCCAAAAGACATGGCAAGGTATTTTTCAACCAATACACGTATTTCCTTTTCACCACACAAATATGTAAACTAGACATAGAAGTTTCAAATTGCTGTTCCTTTGTTCATGGTCTGTCAGCTTACTGGAAAAAGCCCTCTGCAAAAGTGAATCCTGCACAGATCATAGTTATTGGATCATAATTTGTGAAATCAAAGCTAAATTTCAACAAGGCACTCAAGGTGTTCTTTCACAGTATGCCCAAGCTCTTAACAGGATTAGCTTTAGTGCTATGTAAATATCTTCTAATTTGCTTCCATATCGGTGTCCAAATTAAATATTGCAACAAATTTGCTTTGGGTTTGTTTTTGGTTTTTTTGTTGCCTCTTGAATAACAAGAACTGCAGCTAATCTGGTTGAAGTTTCTTGTAGGAAGAAGGAATATTAAGGATGTAATGCAAAAAGTTGCCCTTTTGGAATGCAGGTCTGTAATACAAAAATTCAGCTTTAAATATGGAGCCCTTTCAATTCTTCAGCAGTGGGCCATAACTTAAAGCTGGTGTCAAGCAGTCCCAGCTTTGTCAGGGAGAACACTTAGTACTTCATATTTCACACTGGGATCCAGCTATCAATTATGCACCAGCCTGCTACACTAAAGGGCACAGTTGCCTTTCCTGTGGGTTTTGCTTTCTAAAGATAACCATTTCATACTTTAGAAATCCCATAAGTATACAAAATTACCAGCTGATCTTGCTCTCTTTGTCACTCCAAAGGAAGGGCCCTGCCATGAGGAGTCCTGATGGCAAGCACAGGAGTGTCAATGGCCACTCCAGCTCCCCCTCCTGCCTGCTGGACTGCCCTTGGCTGCTTGCAGTCAAACCACGTTTTGTCAATGCTTGTTTTCTTATGCACAATAAAAAATTGATCCAATAGGCACTAGGACAGGCCCAACCCTCAAAATCTGTTTTTAATCTATTTTCTGAGATCTCAGTAAAAAGGATTTTTGAAGGTACAGACAATACCTTACCTGCAAGAAGTAGGTGACACTTCCTCCAGAACCCGTGTCTTTGTCTACTGCCTCAATCTTAAAGATACTGCTGCTGGAGGGAGTGTTCTGTGACCAGAAAGAGTTACCAGTGACACAGAAGTAGAAAACCAGGTGAGTTAGAAGAAGTGAAAAACGAGCATGCAAGGAGGCAGAAAAAGAGAGTGATGGAAGAAAAAATGTAAGAGCACTGAGGGAAACAAAGAGCAGAAAGGAAAGAGACAAGAGGTGGAGAAGCAGATGGAAGAAATACTTTATGGAATAAAAATAACAGAAAATTTTAGCTAAGACAGAGTGTATCCTATTCCCATTGTAGTCCACTCTAAAAATTCTCAGTGACTCATGTCTTGGAACTTACTCCAAAAACAGCACACCTTAAATACCTACAGACTTACTCCCTAAATTCGAAGTGAATATCTACCCTAACCCTAAACCAAAAGAATACAAGTTAGTCCCACACATCTTATTATTTTACTGAAAACATACTAGCTCCTCTTTACATCCTATAGAAATATACTTCCAGTATGCAAAGGAACTTCACCAACCTCTGGGACTCCGACTATGTAAGGTGTATTGATGAACTCTGGGCTCTCATCATTAGCATCCATTACAAGGATCCTGACTTTTTCAGAAACCTGGAGTAGAATATAAAGAACAAATTATGACTCAAGATGTTTCAACATGCACCCATTTATTTGCCTACTCAGGTGTAGTCAAAGGAAGTGACAAACTGTGTTGCAATAGAACATCTGTGCACTACCAAAACTGAGCACATGTAAAAGAATACAGAAAATCCTATAATCCAGAAGAATTTTCTTTATGGACAGCACTCAGATACCTCCAAAATGAAGAAGAAGTCTCAGAGTATTTTAAAAATTACAGATTGGGGCTGATTTTCAAGTTTTTGTCTGTAGGATGCTGGCACCTCCCAAACATTTCTCGTAGTAACCTCAATTAATTTGTTTGAGATGAGGAGGGGCTCTAGAGTTATCCAGTCTTGTAGACAGTAAGAAGGTCCCACTTTTGTGGCACCTCTAGTGATGAAGCTCATGTCCTCCTGTTGGCAGACTACTATCCTGACTGTAACAGCATCAATCCATAAATTGAAAATGCCAAGAAAATTTGTGGAAGTAGGACTGGATGCTTGTGCAATGCCTCAGATAAGTTCCTAGTGATTAGACATTATCAAAGCTTTATCCTGCAGCAGACAAGAAAACTCCCACCACCTTAGCCTAAGCAAATCTTCTTAATGTCATGCTAGAGAAACACTGTGGGGGTGGAGGGACAGTCAGTTCTTGGCTGCCCAGCACTACATCCTATAATATCATGCATTTCTCCAAAAAGCCTACGGATCCTTCTTAGGCACGAATCCTACTGCAGTGGCAGTGAGACCTCATAGGAAGCTGCTGCAATTCCTCAGTAATTCTACAGACCACTAAGTTTGCCTTTCAGCTCACACCACATTGTAATTACCCTCAAATAGATGATCAAGGAGATCGAGTCAGGTTTGAGTTACTGTGAGTTCAGTGGCTCTTGGAAAAGGAAGTAAAACTCTAATGAGATTATGTTTTCTGATAAAATGAAATAGTCCCTGCAAGGTAATTTAATAGGAGGAGGTATGTGGGGACAGAAGTTTGACAAGCAACAGCATAAATACTTACTGTACTCAGGCCATCTGAAATACTGACAATAACTTCAATCTCATCTTCCTTCTGTAAATCAAGATAGTTCCTTTGTTAGAGAGATGGTGTTTGCCCTGATTGGAAAAGGGACTGCAGATTCAAACGTGTCTAGGCAAGCAGATGACAGTAGTAACTAATCCCACAAAGCAATTGCAGCACAGGTTAGGAAGACCCCTCAGAAACTCCATCTGCGGGTTCCTTGGACTTTCTGTGGCTACTGGCACAGAATGTGACCTGTTGTCACACAACAGGTCTGGGAATCCCTGTTGTTCTGTAAAGTGCTAAGGAAAATCACTCATCTTTTTCAAGAAATGCTCCCTAAAAAGGCACAGTTGGTTCAAAATTTTTCTGTCTCAGTATGCTGTATTTTGAAGGGTTTACCAAGTACTGCATACCTTTCTCTGTGAAGGAGATGTAAAGAGCTCAATGCCAGTGTTCCCAGAATAAGGCTGCCTTTAGGTCACTATTCCTGGGAATATCTTTAACCCACATGATTACACAGATTAAAGGGCTGTGATGAACTAGGAGAAGTCCTGGAACACTGCTTACACAAATCTCTACTTCCTCCAAATGACAGGAGAGTCCCATGTCTGAGGATTTGAGGACTGTAACTGCCCCTAAGCTCTTGATGGATTCTGGGTAGGGGAAGATAGAAATAAAGAATAAACTTCTCTTTTGACAAAATCTGGACAGACAGCAGCTGAAAAATTTGAAAGCAGTGTTAGTGGTACAAGTCAACCAGAAAACTCTGTGATGAGTGAAGTATCATGTCTTAGAATTGCAGAGCATATTACATGATTTGGGGGAAATAAGCTGGCATTGTCCCTCAAAGCCACAGACCAAATTAAACTGAGAAAAATTCCACAAAAACCTAGAGCAATGCCATTTGACTGTACCTCTCTGTCAAGCTCCTCGATCAGCGTCACATTTCCAAGGTCCTTGTCAACAGAAAAGTAGCGTCTTGATCCAGCTTCATAGGTCAGGTCATATGTCACGGGATCCCCTTCTGGATCAGTTCCATTCAGAGTGTACACATGGGTACCTGAAAAATTGCCATGCAACAGCATTTCCCTGTGGTTACTTCAATCAGGGAATATTTCACTTGTCTCTTCCTTAGGAATTTGTCTACCCTGTGGCAGGCAAAGGTTTTGTGAATCAAACCCACTTACTGGGAAGTATGGATAAGCAGCCAGTTCAATAGTCCTGATGACCACCTTTTATCCCACTGGTTAAATCAAATTTATGAATACTGGTTTCTGTCCCTTCAGGCCCTTTCCTGTGGAGCTGAATCTACATCAATTCTATTCACATACAAGTGTTTACATAGGTGACAAGCTCTTGACTAACTCTTGGCCCATGTGAGCCAAAGTGATGCTGTTGTACAACTGGGTGACAATCTCAGCAGTACCAAAAGGCCCTCACAACTCTGCTCTGTGGGAACAAGAGAACTGCAGAGTAGCAGGCAGAGAATCTGGCAAATGAAGGGAAAGCACTCCTGCAGGACTGGACCCAAGCTCTGGAACTCAGGAGGTGCAAGGACATTTTCAGACTTTCCCACTTTCAGAACTAATAGATGCACAGCTCTTCTTTCCTACTTCACTCCCCCTCATTAGTTTTCTCTCATTAAATTCTCTACTCATGTTCATACCAATAAAAAAATTTTTCAACTCATCAATATATTTCCTTCACAATCTGGGGATAGAGATTGTTATTTCTATTTTTAAACATTTGAGAAGTTGGTGTCAATTTTTCTAGTAAACTGAATTTGTGTATCATAAATGATACTTCCTGGGGAGTTATAACACTCATATTTTCAAAACATGGTAAGAGTCTTTATTAGTATTATTTTTTTTTAAAGTTCCATGTCTGTCATCCTACTGTGCATTAATACCTTCATTCAAATAACTTCAAGCACTTTACAAATACCATTTAACTGAACCTGAAACATAAAATGTAAAACACTGTTGTTGTTTCCTTCCAATCCGCTGTGCCTTGCAACATGCAGGAATCAGTGGTGATATTTAGAAAACATAGCTGTCTTCTTGGCATAGCAAAAGATTATACCAAGTCTTGTGGAATCTGTTCTCACTTATGAGCAAACTCTCTTATGATAATTACCAGGGCAATATTTGGGCAACTTTGTACAGAAAATTGTTCACATTGCTAAAATCAATGAGCCTACAAGAGCACAAACAACAGACTCTGTTACGAGCTGGTTCAGCTGGCCAACAAATAGTCAAGACTTGCAAAAGAAGTTCACAAAACTACAAAACACTTTCCCCGTTTTTCTTTGACTTTCCCCAAAAAACAGAGTAGAAAATAACAACGCACTGTAAGTGTGATCTCTGAAAATTATTAGGGAAACAAAATGATTGGTGTGATGAGGCTTCTCTAACTGCAACAACTGAACTGTGTAAGTACAAGGAAATGCAAAGAGAGAAATAAACTGGGGCTGATTTAGAATACTGCCCTGAAAGGACACCTACCTCCTGGTATTGCTGTCTACATAAGAGACAGATATTTGAAGACTTCTGAAGGTTCTGCAACACCAGCATTGACTCATTTATTCTTGTTTTCCAGAAGCTTTGTCTTGATATCTCAGCTGGGCCCAAAGGGAGAATTCAGGTGCCAGCTGTCAGCACCTGAGTGACACTGGCATCAATACACTGCTTTTCTGCAGCCTTTTTTTTGGTCATTAGTTGTTTCTACTTCTTACTTGCTTTTCTGCCCTTCTTATCAGCTTTTCCTGTGCCTTTCATTCTATCTAATACTGCCTATCCTGTTTCTACCTCACATGGCTAGCTGTGGTAGCTGCTGACCAGTGCTCGCTGTGCAGTGGAAAAACAGGATGGACGTCACATTTGAGATCTCTTGGAGCCTGTGGGCAATGACCAGGCACAAAGCCTAGTGCTGTGGCTGCCCTGAAATACCCATGCTGACAGTATACAAACTAGAGACCACTCCTCAGGGATTGCAGGGATGGAGAAAACCAGACTGTGAAAATTTATGTGAACATATTTGAACTAGGGCTTGTTCTTCTAATCTAACAGTTTTACTTCCTACATTATCTAGGAATTGTCTTATAAGCAAAACAGGAATTTTCTTGCTGTTAAATGTGAGAAAAAGCATTAATATTGGTACAGACAGATTACTGAGCAAGTAATGATGAACATCATTGATCTTTACACTGGAACATTTGCTTTTTAGCTAAAGCTGATACTTAATTTTTTATAGTACAGAACACTTGTGTGCCTTTTCATTGTGGATCAAAATTTATTTCTAACTCATTATAATTCCTTATTTTTTCCAATTTGTAATTTCACTGCACAGTACTCTCCATATCATTAACACCCCCGGGAACACTTCTCAGCACAGTGTTAATGCCAATTAAAAATCTCTTCTCAGTGTGCTGCCTCTACTTGCTGAAAAGGAAATAAATGAAAAAGACAGATAAAATCTAATCAGTGAATACCAAGTAAACAGCCTCTCCCTGTCAGAAAGATATGGGAATAGAAGAGTCTTTATTTGGGATATGGCAAATGCCATGTAAGGGCCCCAGCTGGAAGAGCAGGATGGTCTGAGTACCTAGGGGATGGTTCAGCAGGCTGGGAGAGGGGAGTCCTGGGGAGCTACTCACTGCTTCCTGCTATGGCTGCTTCCCAGGAGCAATGCCAGGCTTTCACTCTTTTCCTATTCCATCTTAAAAAGTCATTTGCTCCCTGTTCCTGCCACTCAGGCTAAATGTCTGTCTCATGATGCCATTGCTCCATTTTACTTCAACTCTGACTCAAATCTAATCACAGCCAGCCTCTGCCCACAAGCTCTGGGGCTTATTTTGCCCTCTCACTGAATACACACTCTCCCTTTCTTGCTGCCCAACACTCAGCAATCAAATGCCCCCCCCCCATCAGTTAAACAAGCCAAGCACATTTTGGACTTAGTCCTGCCACTGTCCTTGCCACCACAGCTGACATCTGTTAACAAGATGTTGAGAGGGATATCCATGGCCATGTTCCCAGGACCAGACACCTCCCAATGTCACAGCAAATACCACCTTGCCTGGGGTTACAAGCCTGCTCTCCACATGTCCTAGCCAAGGGTCATTTCCCCATCAGGAAAGGAAATGGACAGTTAACACAAAGCCTACAGATGGCTATTTTACACTCCAAGCTCACCCCAAGCAAAGGGGAGCACAGGTCCTGGAGGACATGGACCACACACCATGGGTGCCTCAAAAATATCTCCTTTCCCATTCACTCCCAGCTACCACTCCTTCCAGACCATACCCAGGCAACTCCTGCTCCCTCCCTGCACCCTGATGCACCAGCTGGCTGGCAAAGCGGGGACATGGCCAGGATCAGCAGCAGCTGAAACAGGCCTTGCAACTGCAAGTGCCTGCCATGGGGAGAGGGGATATTGCAGCAAACACTCAGCATGGGGCCTGAAACCTCACCCCATGGATGGCAGCAATGTGTTCCTGCAGCACCCACAGCAACCAACTCCAAGGAGAAGCCATTTGAGGGCAATTTTCTGATGTATCTGCAGCTTCTGTCAGAAGACTTAAAACAAAATTGGAGGCTGTAACACCTGCAAGTTCTCATCGCATCTCTGTGCAGTGCTCGGCTTTGTGGGGGGCTTCACTCTGTGCACTGCTTGCTCTGTCACAGTGGTGCAGAAGGCAGGCTGTGCTTAACACTCCTGTTCTGGTAGCCTCCCAGCTTTCCTAGGGGTGGATCAGGGAAATAAAAACAAGGAAGAAATGACAGGTACTTGAGGAGACAAGGGGAGCTCTACACAGTCAGTTGTGACTGACATGAAGAAATGAGATCAGGAGCATGTAGGAAGAGGGGAAGCTTGAAGGATGGAGGGAACTGTAGGGGGTGGTCAGCCAGTGATAGGTGGCTGGCAGCTGTAGCTTTGATCAAAGAGTTGCCACTGCAAAGTGGCTTTTAATGGGGGGGCAGTGCTCGCTTTGTAGGCAAGGGCAAAACCAGAAAGGAAAATGCAAGGATAAGAGGTATGCAGAAATCTCCAGAGCACTGGTGATGCTTGGGCTTTGAGAGAGTAATGAACTTAGGCCTTCTGAGTATGCTTCAATCCCCTGCCCTGCAGCTGTTCCCAGCCCCACTCTGTCCCCACAATGAGGTCTTATAGGGATTAAGAGGTAAGATGAAACAAACAACCTGAAATAGCATCTCACTCATGGCTTAAGACCTTGATTAGGAGCACACGCATTTTGCATGTATACAGGCGACTCTCCTCAAAGAGCTAACTACCCACCCACCCTGCCAAACAGCCACAGACTGCTATTGCAGTTCATAACTTTTCCAAGTCCTCTTAAGCCTGGCACTGGAAGGGGCTGCTGTCCTGGCCCTTTTTACCTTAAGGGGTCTCATGCTCTGCAGCAATAAACAGGACCTGGAAATCTGCAGATACTTTCAAGCATTCACACAGAAATAGTATTTGCTGGTTTTATGATAACTCATGGTACAATGTATGCAACTTGGTAAACAAATATCAACTATCTGTAAATAAGCAAAATTGGAAAAAAGGAAAAGAAGGTCAAGTTAGGGGTGATATGAGCGTGGTAATGAATTTGATGTGTCCATGCAGCTGCAGCACTGCAATTTCTTTTTCTACAGTCACACAGGGAATGCATTGTGTCCTTTCAGTGTTCCAAAATGTTGCCTGTCCCTTGACTACAGATGCCTGGGAATATAACTAACACATACCACTTTGCCAACTGCTTGTAATCTCAGCAAGGCCAAAGACTGTAAAATTTCTGGAGGTTCATTAAAGCTGCTGTCCATGGCATTGCTCAGATCAGATACCAGCTGCTGCCAAGAAAAGCATCCTGCCCATGACTCCAATTTTTACATAAGGACAGGGAAGACCTAATAGCAACCTGCCCATTTTTGCAGAACATAATCCTGAGTGAAGCCATCCAGAATCAAACGTGGAAGTTTTAATTCCCCTGTTTTGTCGCTGATCATCCTGCTCAAAATAAAAGATGACTTCTGGAGTGTGGATGCCTGGGACTGCACATGTACATGGGAGCCCAGACTCCTTCTCCTGCTTCTGGAGGAGATTGGGGCAGAGTGCTGAGGAACCACAGCCTCCTCTGCAGTGTGATACCCTTCATTGGGGCCACAGAAAAGGGCCAGCCTGGTAGCAGGGGCAGTGTGTGAGCCCTCACTGAGCCCTGGCATGAAGGTGACTGTGGTCTCATGAGAACACACTAAACAAAGCTGAATGCACACCCAGCATTGCAGAACCAAAGAGTCAGTTCCATTTGTGCCCTCCTCTGGGAGCCTCTCTGACAAAGCATTCCCAAGGAGTGGCTGTGCTGGCACAGGCAGCAGGTACCAGCAGCAGTTTGCATTAAGCAAACCCAAAGCAAGCAGACTCCCACGGAATATCCAAAAGTGCTCTCAGAAGAGAGGACTTTGCAGTACTCACAGCTATTTGTCAAGGTGTTCTGGGAATTAGCCCAAAGAAGCACTGGCAGCTGCCTGGCAAAGCAATCACACTTGGACTTCTCAAAAGTAAGGCCTTATCTCCCTTTCCCAAGGGTTTCTACAGGCCCTTTGGAGCTTTCAGCAAGAAGCTACTACTCTCTTGTTTTTTAAAGCACACTTATACATCAAATTAGAAGTACAAGCCAGACAATTTAAACACATGTAAACAGATTCTGGATGAAGCCAGCGGGCATGATGCACAGCAGGACTGAAGACAGAGCAGCTTGAGCTTTATCACTGCTGCAACCAAAGCACAAACTCTTTAGGGACATCTATGTACCCAGTCTAGTTGCTAATGTTACAAAAGCACATGCAGAAGCCCATCAGGTATTTCTCATTATTCTTACTTGAGCTAGTTACAGGAGCACTAACACAGCTCTGATCTCTCACAGTGCTGTTTTCTATTGAGGCATGCACCCTCTCCTTTTTTGGCTGCTGGAGCCCCCAGCCAGAAGCAGTGGGTGGAAATTAGTGCTGTACTTCACTGCTGCAGAGAGTGCTGTCATCTGAGAGACCATGTGGCACTGCAGTCCGGACAGGAAGGACATTTCGACTGTGTTGTGGCTCTGTGCCATCTTTAGCTCCCCATCCCCATGCAGGTGGCTGGAGGCTCCCAGTGGTGGCAGGGAGAGGCTGATGCTCTGTGAGCTGGCACCACATCAGGTAGTGGGAGTTTGATGGCAAGCAAGTTGCACTGCCTGAGGTTTCAGTGGAGGAGTTGGCAAGCACCACCCCAAACAAACTGAGCTGGGGTCCCATTTTGTGCTGTCTGGCATTACAAGCCTCAGCTATGCTTAGACAAGTGATTCCACTGGCTAATCGTACCCCAGAAATCAGCAGAACTGTAGGAATTGCCAAGACTGAGCAAGCTTAGTTTCCATGTGAATCCAGGCAGAAGTACAGCAAAAAATGCGTCTCCTTGGTCTGCCTCTGGCTCTTCCAAGTGCCACTACATTACTGTTGGCCTTCAGATGAGGTTTGCACTTAAGCTTGACTAAGCAATAGCAAATTCCTGCTGCATCATAAGCAAGCTCTTTTTAAGTTCATCAGCAAGATGTGTCACTTCTATGCTATATGCTGCCTTCTCTCCCTCCTCTTCTCAAGCTAAGCAGGTAAGGGAGAATTCCCAATCACTCTCTCCCCATACTGTAGAAGGCCCAGCATGGTTCTTGTCTGGCATTAACACCACTGGGTCAGAAATGGAGACTTTGAGCAAACCCAGGCAGCTGCTTCCCAAAGCAGTGAGTGACCTTGGTTTTGTTTAGAAAGGTGTGGGTGGCAGTGTCAGGCTTCCAGAGGAGGCTGTGCCCTCTGATCCCTCCCTCATCCTCACCTCCCCCACCTGCCTAAGCCCTGGGAGCACCCCCTACACAGCCATCCTCCTCTACGGATGAGGCAGCTAGTAAAGGGGTCCCCTGGTACTCAGTTTGCAATAACTACACATTTTTCTGATTTAGCCTGTAAAAGCTACTGACAATCAATAGAAAGTCCTAAACAAAACCTCAGTGCAAAGTTTGAAGAAAAGGTGGTGTTCACCACTATAATATATTTTACATGTAATTTTTTAAATGTTAGGAAATTATTCTTCTCCCATGCAAAATAGGGATTATAAATCACCTTTTGTTCTTATTTTTTCTTAATGCAACTACAGTTTAAAGAGGATAGACTTGCATCAAAATGCTGAAATCTGAAAGCTGTATCCGTTTTTGAATTTTCTCTAAAACGAAACTAAACCTTTTTAAAAACATCAGTTGTTTAGACAAAGCAATTTTCACTGTAAGTGGAAATATTTTCTACCATTTGTACTGTAAACATGAACAATTTGATGACTGTTAAAGAAAACCATGCCTCCTACTTTTCAGTGTACAGATTGCTTTTATCAAGGCTGATAAAATTACCAGCAACTAGGCTTTCTCCTATAAGCATTTACAGGATTGGTAAGAAGCCTCTCACCACCACGAATTTATTTATGACCGCAAAGGTCTGTGCTATGAAGCCATGAATAGATTGATGGACCAAAACAGGAGAGCTAAAATTCATGTTTTAAATTGTAGCTACAATTCAAACATGTAATTTTAAATTGAGGTCAATTAGAATCTTGAGAGAAAACCACGCAGGATCACAGACTATAACAACAATTTACAACAAAATATATGTATTAATCACAAGAGCAAGCAACTCCAGTTTCACAGATTAAACATACTAATTTTAATACTGACCAACAGGTGTGTCCTCTGAAAGGCTGAGGAGTGCCATGTTCCCGTTCGTGCTTCTGGCTCCATTGTCAAAGAAATAGGGGGCATAGTTTGCCTGAACTGCAATTAAAACAAAACAGAAGCCAAAGAAAAGCATTTTATAGGTGGCACTTATTTGGCTGGCTCAGTTAATTACTTGACTCTCAGTAAACACGAGCTGTTTTGGGAATACTATGAGTGCATAATACACCCAGTTGCTGCAGTGGACTCTCAGTATCTGTATGGATATTTTTAATAAAATTACTTCTACGTGCCACTGTGCCAGTATTCACACAGCAGGAAATAGAGAGTGTATGTTAAAAGAACCCAAAACCAACAGAAATAAAACAAGCAACAAGATGTCTCTAAAAAACCTCAATCAGTTCCAGACAGCTTCACTGAAAAATGAACCTTTTCAGCTTGTCATGACTGCACACCTCTCCCCTACTCTATACATACAAGTCTGAAACTCTCCAGTGCTTTGGTACCTTAGCCAGTATTCTTACCCAGTGTTCTAAGCACATTCTGTCTTAAAATTAAACCTACTGCATGAGCAATTAGCCATAATTAAATAGTTACTTACTTGCTGCCAGACAACAGCAAAGTTAAAAAAAAAAAACAAGAAACAACAAATTAGTTGTCATTCTACTGACTGACTGTTAGAGATTCAAAATAGCCCATTTGAAACAAGTCTCCAAATATATAAACACAGAGGGTAACAACTGCACAGGGATCATTTGCCAAGGAAAATATTTCAGGACAACATTACCACATCAGTAAGGATTACTACAGGAGTTAAGGTTATGTTTTTATTCTCCTATATTTTTACTTAACAAAGTGATTATTGTACTCACCCAGGCAAACATGCACCAAACTGAGAAATAAGGAGGGGTTGAAATGCCTTACATGCTTCATCCCACTGAAGAAAGAGCCAATTTCTCCTCTATTATAGGGGCTTGGGGTTTTTTTTTTTTTCTCTCTGAAATGTCCAGGAAAGTGTCCTTCAGCCTGATGTAGTGCAGAAATGTGCAAGCGGCAGTAACAGATGCTAAGATGTTAAGCGGATGACACGTCTTAATTTCTGAGGAATTTAAAGAAGCTCCTTCCTACCACCTAATTAGACCAATTACTTTGCAGGGAGCTGTGGGACTCATCTCTGAGACAAGATTTGGAGGTACCAGTGTAACTCTCATAGGTTCCGCTGTTAGTACTGTACTTGTGCAGACCAAACACAGAAGTCAGGGAGAAGGTAAAGCAGAAATTTGTTTTCATTCTAAACCCTGTCTTTAATTGTCTAAGCCAGTCCTCTATTTTTGAGAGCTAAAAGAGGATTCTTTTTATTTTAGCTCGGGCAATCTTAGAAACAACAAAGAAAGAAAATCTAATATTAGCAAGAAACAGTAGACATGACTGTCAACATTTTAAAGAAAACAATCACATTTATGATAGCAAAAAAACCCAAACAAACACAACATTGCATAAATTGCAATTAAAAATGCAGAAATCAAAATGCTCTTCTCATGAGCTGGCCTGATCATTTAATTCTTAAATTGCACGAATTGCTGAAAGCACCTTTTACCTACAGCAGGCAATTTTTAACCCACATACTAAAAAGTGTGTTTAAACGTAACACATCAGAGAAGTTAACAAAGTAGCTTTTTTTCATTGCTTGTTTTGGCATATAAAAGGTGCTTGCACTAACTTAAAGTATATATTATCCAATATATTATAGGGTTAAAAATCAGCCAGTCTGGGAAGGCGTTCACAGATAAACCTGCTTAAAAGGAGCTCCATCATGGAAATATGTAGCTTCTAAGGAAGGGTATGTTTACATCATGGCTTAGCTGTTTAAACTTGACCTGCGGTAAAGCACTTGCCCTTTAAGGATGTGTTAATGGAGTTTTCTGGTTTTTTAATTAACAGCCAGTGTAGAAACGCCTAAGAAATTAATTAGCCACAGAGTTCCGCATTGCAATGCTTTAGAACGTGGCGGAAGCTGCACACCCTGCCTGGCAGTGGCCCTTGGCACTGGTGCCCCGCAGCCTGTCCCCACACCCGGGGAGACAACCCCGCACAGAGCCTCCCCTGCCAGCCCCTGCCTGTGGGGTGCAGAGCCGAAGGTGGGCAGCACTCCAGGGACAGCTTTCATCACACAGGGAGGAGAGGGACAGGCTGGGCAGCTCCCAGATATCTGTCCTACGGAGAGAGCCGGCAGTTAGATCCTGTCACACATTTACAGCGTATATTATTACTCCTGACCTTGGCGGGGGGAACAAACGGTGGAGGAGGCCGTGGGACAGGTCTTTGTGCAGTGCTGCGATGCTCCTGTGACGCGGGCAGGGCGTGCGGCACTTGCAGTCACGGATCTACTGACTGGAAGGACATCTCTGCCTGCAGAACACATCAGCTGTGAGGGGAAAAGTGAAATGCTTGACCCAATATTAATAAAACTTGCCACCCGTAACAGAACTTGCCAGAGAATGGTACAGAGAGCAAAAGACCAAAAAGGCTCCAAATGAATCAGACAAAATAATGAAGATTATTATGTTCATTGATAACTAGCAAATGTGATGATACGGATGCAAACCCTGGCTCAGCAAGGCATTACATTACCCCTGCCAGAAGCTCTTTGTCATCCTGAACGAGATCAGACCTTTGGTGTGACTCTTATGACTCTTCCTGTAGAGCAGCGTTTGCAAAAGCTCAACGTTGAACCAACGTGTGACTGCAGCAGTGGCCTGTAAAGCTGAGGGAAACCTGCAGCAGGCAACTAAGAAAAACAGATGTATTTTTAGTGCATTTAAATTCATTACATGGGAATCCAAAGCTGAAAACTGTGTGGGAGCAGATATACATTTAGAAGGTGGATTTAAGTTTAGTTCCTGTTACAGATTTAACCATGCTACCTCTGTCAAAAGTAATATTAAACCACTGATAAAATCACAGAAATACACCTGCATAGTGCCCAAAAGAAAACATAAATAGCACCTGAATGTCCTCTCACCTCTCTCCTCAATCCACAGCTAACAACACGCTGTTTTTCTACAGAGTATTTTCCTAGAATAAGTGACAGAGAGCTCTTGTCAAAGTTAATAGCTGTCTGTTCCCCTGGTTGCATCCCCTGGGGATCTAAATCTCTTGGGCCTGTATCTCCAAGGAAGCAAAACATCTCACTCCTGAATTTCAATAAGTTTGAGCTCTTAATCCCCTTACAGTTTGAAAACCTAGCTAATATGCATCTATGCACAGTCAGATACAAACTTAACACAACAACATTAGATAGAAGTATATATATGTCAGAAAATAAACTTTGATCAAAGCCAGCACAGCTCGTGGATCCAGGCTTATTTTGATGAATTTTCTCCTTTGGAAGAAGAGGGGCAGCAGAGGGTTTCAGGACAGCAGTATCTTCAGTTCCAACATTTTTGGGAATGGAAGGATCCCTCTATGTAGAAGAAATTTCTGTTTCATATATTTTTAGCATATCAAGTAGAAAGAAACATAAAAGCAGAATGAAATATACCCATCTGATCTTAAATATACCAATCTGATATGAACCAATTAGTTTCCCAGAGTGCTGTTTGTTTACTATTCAGTATGAAAACAAATTCAGAAAGATCCAATATTTTCAGAACAGTTTTGGCTTTGGGTCACTGATTAGCAGTATCTACAGGAAGCTTTTAGACAACCTGCATTTTTATACAGTAAAGCTTTAAATGTTGAAGGATGCTACAATAAGGCAGTGAAGGTTTTTGCAGACTTCCCCCATTCTGACAGCAGCTGGGGTGTACTGGGGCCAGTGCAGCACAGTTGTAACTGCTGGACTGGGCATTGTGAAACCCTGGGGATGCCCTGAGCTATGGGGCTCTCCCCCAGCAAAAACCCACTCCCCAAACCAAAACTAGAAACTTCTTGGACGCAGGGCCCAGACATAAAACCAGCCAGGCACAATCCTCTGCCAGCTCCTGCCCTCTTATCTCTCTGAGCTTTGAGAATATTGGAAAAACCTGGGTCCCAATATGTTCACTTTTCTTAGCCCTAAACCCCACCTTAAGCCTAAGACCAGTAGTCTTCCTTAACCAAGTATGGCTGATGAGAAATGGCTTCTATCAGTACCAAGAGCTGCACTTTTTCTGAACAGGGGAATCTTGGGCCCCACCCAAGACAGCTGCTCTTGAGCCCAGTCCCAAAGCACAGACTAAAATGTTGGCCAGAGTAGAACTGACAACAGGTGCCAACACTAGAACAGCACCTGAAACCTCCCCAGGAGCACAGCAATGATGCCATGGGCCAAGGATTCCCCCTGCAGGGGTGGGGCTGTGAGGCAGCCTGTTCACAGCATAACCAGCAAGTGCCCTGCTGTGTCACTGCCATCCCAGATGGCATTTGCTGCTGCCCCTGCTGAGCACAGAGGGCATGGGCTGAGCTAGCACAGAGATAAATTACTCTTTCCACATCGTGAGTGGGTGGCCCTTCCACCTCAGGGCGATCACATTAGAGCTGCCCACCTGGGAAATGTCTGCTTGGCATATAAATGTGAGGTTTGCATGAGTTGCATTTCAATAAGTTTTTGTGTGCTTATATCGCATTTGTGACTTAAAAATAGCGAGAAAAATAAAATTAAAGAAATAACAGATATTATTTTCCACTGTCCTGCTTTGCTTTATAATAACTGGGTACCGTCTTCAGATTTTATGTTTGTTTCCATTTTCCTCTGTTCTAGAGTCTGGATGGTATGGATAAGCAATGAAGTCCTCACTCATAACAACAGCTCCAGCTACTTCTTTTAGTATGCTCATCCTCCAATTCTGGGTGCATATGACATTAAGTGTTAGCTTGGAGAAGAATGCTCAGCATTTTTTGTGTGTGCATTTTTGTGTGTAAATAAATTCAACAGAAGAAGTGCTGCACACTTTACATAAACCTCAGCATGTACAGAAAAACTCCAAATTACATTCTTTCCCTCCTATTGTAAATCACATGCTAAGAGGGGTGTGGAAGTTGCCATTGCTAGTTGGAGGCGTTAGGCACAGCACAATTCAGTCAGAATTGCTTGATGTAATACCATGAAGGACAGAATTGGAGCATTGGTCATTTTCAAGACTCTCTTTAAACTCTATTTTCACATCTTTGAATGTGATAGAGAAGTTCTTATTTATCCTTGAAAACAAAGGAAGGCGAACAGGATGGGGCCGTGATATACACCATAGGTAAGACAGGAACCCCAACAACCCTGAGTGTGACACAGTTGTAACCACAGCTGTATGTAATGTAACAACCACACTTGTCTGGGTGTTTGGCTGGGACCTGGGAGTGGTCATAGAGCTTTTTGTCTCAGCAGAGCTGAGACACAGTTAAACATGCAGTTTCCATCACAAACCAAACAAAACTCTCTTGCCTGCCCAAACTACATCATTCCTCCCCACTAAAATCTCCCTGCCAAGGACTGTGCGATGAGTTACATTGGGGCATGTAATTTCCATTACTACAGAACCAGGAACAACTGTTGATGACCATTTCAGATGACTGGTTTTGGTGGTGAAGAATTTTATAGGACCTATCTTTTTCATTTTCCTAGCACAGCTCCATACCTTCTGTCTGGCTGCTGAGAGAAACTACAGGAAGTGCTGGGGAATCTGCAGGAACCTGGGCCAGTCTGATGGCAGGACAGAAAAGACTGAAGTCCCTCAGAAATCTTCACCATCCATCTCTGTGTCTTGAATTACCAGCTATGGGAGAGAAACAGACTTGCAGTACCACTGCACAGTCGGAATGGCAAAAAGAAACAGTTCCGTGTTTTGGTGGTTAAATCTAATAAGAGATGCGTGCTTGAGTACTTGGCCATGATCACCAAACTCTGATCCTCCCTGTTGCCAGAACAAATATGCCACTTATGCCAAATATGAGACTTTATGCATCCCATCACTTGGGATATACAAATCTGTTACAAGGACTTTGAATTTTTTTAGTCATGACAAATTAAAATGCAAACTAGTAGAAACCTCTTTCTCCCTCTCACTGTTATTCTCTTATTATTAATTGAATAACTTCTACATCTAAAAGGAAAATGAGCTTGTTGTTACCATTCTGACTCATGGGGGTCTAAGTTCAGTTTACATATCTATCACAAAGAGTCTGTAAATAATCAGCCTAAGATCATTAAGTCCACATAAAAGTAATCGAAAGATAGTGATGTGATCATTAATGCTCTTGGTCAATATTTATAATCCTCTCTCAGCTCAGAAATACAAAGCAGAAAGTGATACTGTACTGTTTGTTTTGATGATTTTAAAGAACAACATGAGTTATAACTCAGCTGTCTACACACAATTTTTCATATTGCAGCTCCACTGAGCAGCTCCACTAAACCTCAGCAGTCTGCAGGAGAATCACAGAATGGTTTGTCTTGGAAGAGACCTTTCAAGCTCATCTAGTCCAAACCCCTTGCAATAAGCAGGGACTTCTTCAGCTCGATCAGGTTGCTCAGAACCCTGATCAACCTGAATGTTTCCAGGGATGGGGCATCTACAGCTTCTCTGCACAGACTTCTCCAGCATTTCACCACCCTCATCACAAAAAATGTCTTCCTTATATCTAGTCTGATAAAACAGAGAGCATGAAGAAGACTTTGTGACTCAACTGATTCAGGAAGATACACCCCACAAAACAGAAGAAGAAAAAACACCTCATTCATGGAAAGGAAAACCAAGATTTAGAGAGATGACTACAAGCATTACATCAATTTGAACCCCTTGGAGTGTCCTCATTTGGATAACAAGAATGGAAGCATCCAGTCATGATGTCCTTATCTCCAAAGGAATTAAGAAATTACAATGGCACAAAACCAGGGAGAACAGACACCAAATATCCAGTAATTTCAGCACTTCCACAGTGACTTCAAAACAGATAACAAAGTGCTTTCCAAACAAACTGGTGGACAATTTTTCCACAGAGGTAAAGAGGTGGCACTTTCACCCTATCAGAAATACTCGTCTAAAACCCAAAAATCTCAGAGCACTTGCCTG